TATGGTGCATATAAATTTAGCAAAATGCTCCTCTGTAGAGTTAATTTTTCTAGCTGACTAACGAGTTTATGGTCACTGGATATGGTTTTTCAGAGGTAAATGTGACGTTACATCACATTGTTTACAAGCTGTTTTACTGACGTCTTTCCACGGTTGAAACACTGAGCGATTCCATGTGACATGATGTCGATAAGTTGTACTCCATGTTTTAACACACTTTTAGATGCTCATTCATGTTTATTTCGTGCTGTAACTGGTATTATTAAGGCGGAAGTGAAGATCATGTGCGCTCCGCGCTGCTGCTTCTCTTGAGCTGAGCGGCGCCAGAGCGATCTCACGCCACAGCGCCAAAACGGTATTTATGTTTTTGAATTTCGTAAGAAAATGGACGTAATTTGAAATCTGAGACTTTGTTTCATATCAATAGTAACAAAGCACAAAGATTATTGCGATTTATTGGATGGGATGCGCGCTACAATGTTCCATTCATTCATCAACTGAAAACAGGATGACTAGCCTAATCGATTCTTGGGATTTAAGAATCGATATCGGTTCGTAAAAATGAAAATCAATTAAAATCGAGAAATCTATATTTTTTTACCCAGCCCTAGTACTTATAAATATGCTGGATACATTCAGCTTTTTGCATAGTTCATTATACTTATTTTATGGAAGGAAGTTTATTTTGTGGCTTAAATAAATTATATGTTACACAGAGATTGACACGTTTGGTTTGGTTTCAGCTGACGCAAATTCATTGACTTTAGAAAATCAAGTACATTTTTTACTAGGAAAGGAGTAGTTTTGATTCACAAAGTTGTGAAGAGATTTTGGCTGGTCCACACTTTCTGAGACCCCTTTAAAGTTCTAATTGAGGGTCAAGACTTGGTTTCAGGAATAAGGTTATAATAAGGTTAAGGGTATAGGTAAGGGTTCGGGTTATGCACTTATAGGGTTAGGAGCTAGAGATTGCATTGTGTCAATGAATGTCCTCACAAAGATAGATGTACAAGAGTGTGTGTGTGTGTGTGTGTGTGTGTGTGTGTTGGCACTTGTACCTGTTTCTGTGAAGGTTACTGCAGTGATATCCATTTCTTAGCACTCAGTATTTGTTTATATAAAACAGCTTGGTCTTTTAATTCTCATGCACTCATTTCACTTTTCGTTCAACACTCTGTGTGTATGTGTGAGTGAGAGAGAGTGTGTGTGTGCGTATTCAGCTTTGAGTCCTAAAGTGACTCTGTCAAATCCTCTTTCAAGTGTTAAATCCCGCCTGAAGCTTGGAATGCCCCTAGGAATGTTTTGAACATTAGCAAGGCTCTCCGAGTGCCCTTGGTCCTTGGGCTTTGTCTCTCTCTTTCCACGGACATCCTGGAATTGGATATTTTAGCCACATGTTGTAATGTTGAAGGGCTTCAAGAAGATGAGATTCATTATGGAACATGGCATTTGCATCGTCTATATTCTCATAAATAATACATTTTATTTGTTTAAATAAATCTTTTTATTTTTATTATTTTAAAATACATGGGGTGTTAATAATCTTTCACGTGAGCCAGATGCCAGTAAAGTCAGATGTCAGTAAAGTAAGTCAGATGCCTGTAAAAATGTTGTTGGTGGTTATTGTTATTATTTGTTATTGTATTTTAGTTTGGTGATTCTGTCCACACAGTCCAGGCATTTGCCTTGAGGGCTGCTCTGCCTGAGTGATCTTTAAGGGGTGATGAGAGAGAGAACAGCAGGCGCCCTCCCCGATCACTCCTCTTATATAACATTCTCTTCATGTGAGAGGATGAACCCAGAAGCTCTTTACCACACTTTAAACTAGCTGATTTTCCAGTAGTCTCTCAACCACTGATCTGCTGTGTGTACATTCACCAGTTTATTATAAGAGTTTTACTGCTAAATAGTCTCCAAGCGGTTTTGTGTTGTAACCATCATTCTTTAGAGAAGAATGAGTGCATTGTATCTATCTCCAAGAACCCAAAATGTAAAAAACAAAAAATCCCTGAAGTGCTGAATTGTATTAATCTGTGGTGCTTGCCAAGGCGTGCTTCACTATTGCTATTTCCAAACCTATTTATGAAACCTTGACACGTAACTCGTTTCAAATGCACTTATTATATGTGTACATATGATGGTATTTTTACCAGCTGAGAACTCACAAAGAGCATAGAAAATGTGTAAAGGAGTCAAAACCGCTTCGGAAATTCCTACATTGCACACAAATAAAGATCTGCTGCGGCAAAGAGGCGACATTTCTGAAGCCTGTAACGAACTGCAATGGGCTACATAACTCCTATGATGAGAACAAACAGGTAGAATACTTTTTAGGGTCGCATCTCATGACATGACATGACATTTTTGGTTCGATACCAAATCAGTACAGGGCTCCAGACTAACTTTTTGCCTTAGTTGCACTGGTGCGCCTAACTTTTTTATTTAGGTGCACCAGCACAAAATTTAGGTGCACCCAAATGTTTCCTCGGCTCGCGTCGCCTTTAACGCCACAATTTCAAGCTCAGCTTTTTATCATGCTCCATATACATGCATATATATTATGTAAATGATTTTAAACAAGAATAAGGTGTAGGTAAATACTTTTTTTTTAATTTGAAGCACAATTATATTGTATACAAAAAAAATGTTTGTGCTTCACTGAGCTGCCAAACTAACTATTTTGAGTCTCTAGCTCAGGCTCGGTAGGCTCACCGAGGAAGGACCAGGGCTTGGCATCTTACAGGGACTGGGGAGACGGGTGGCTGAAGTAGCTTCATGTCTGGGCTGTTGTCGGAGCATTGACCGGGGAGTAGGGATGGGTATCCATAAGGTTTTAACGGTATTACTACTCTTACCGATACTCCTTAGCGATCCGGTACTTTAACAGTATTCTTATCGGTTCTTTTTGTTTTACAAACAAAGATAAACAATTAAACAAAGATGCACATTATATAGGCCTAGACAGTGCTTTAATTTCAGGAAGGTCTACTAACATTAGCTACTGTTCAAGTATGGTCTAAAAAGAAATCTAATAAAGTAATCAAATGTAAAATAACACTGCATATTTTATCATAGATAGATAATGCTTATTAAAGCTGAAGATATTAATTCAAGAGCTGTGAATACAAGCCGGTCATTTTGACATATTTTTGTGTACATTTGATAGTTTAGACACGCACATGAAACCCAAAGTATAATTTGCTTGTCTCGTTACGTTCTGTTTTTAGAGCGCGCGTCGCCTTGGGAACAGCATCTCTTGTGCAGACTTTTGTGCTTTTAATAGCTCTTTTTATTATTAAACGCGTCCCGCAATTTAGCAGCAGTAGCTGGACTGCATTTTACAACAATCACGAGCTGATTCTGTCGTTAAGTTTGAGTTTTAGGGAGAAGTGACAGCGCACTGCTGCGAATGGAAGGAAGCTGCGCAAGACCGAATGTGTCTGTAGTTTTTAATGGTTTTACCTCAATATATTTTTTTATAATCTTTGGAAGCCGAAATCTAAAACAAAATCAGACTAATATCACAGACCTAAAGTGTAACCAGGCTACGTTTGAATGTTTAGTTCTGCGTCGTCACTCATTAAGCAGAGCTGTCGTGTTTTGCGCGCTGTGGCTCCGCGTGAGAGATCTCTCTCTCTCTCTTGGACTGCGAATAGCAAAAATGGTGTAATATTATTATACACGGAAAAGGCTCGCAAGATAAATTATTTTTTTAAATAACGTCTTTATAGTAATAATAAATAGTATGTGTATTTTCTTAATTTCTCCAGTAAGTTACCGACATCAGAACCGATCACGTCCGAGCTGATCGATACAGCGGGCTTTCAGAAGTTGAATACCGGGTTTCGGTACCCATCCGTACCGGGGAGAGTGTTGGGGGAAAGAGGCCCACTTTTCTAAAAGAAAAAACTCTATGGGTCTATTTCTTTTCATTGTTCGTCGTCTGTTTTCTTGCGTTTCTTTTGCTGATGCTGATTGCCGTAACTGATTATCTGGTGCTCAGGTCGCAATTTCAGTCACACAGCACGGAGCAGTGTAGGCCTACCACAGCCAATCAGAGGCAAAGACCCGCCCTATCTCTGTCTCTGATTGGTTTAGACCACGATATGATCCAACCATGAGTGTGCTGTGAGTTCCGACAAAGGAGAACAAGCGCTTCGCTCGTGGAATCTTGGCAGCGGACGCGAGGACGTTAGGTGCACCGGTGCGACCTTGGAATAAATTTAGTCGCACCCTTACAAATTTTATTGGTCGCACTCTAGAGCCCTGCAGTATTATAAAAATTATTTCTGAAGGATAATTTGACTCTGAAGCCTGGAGTAATGATTCTGAAAATTCAGCTTTGACATTACAGGAATAAATTACATTTTAAATTATATTAAAATAGAAAACTTAAATGCCACTTTCAAAAACATTAAACAATCTTACAAACCCCAAACCTTTCAATGTTTGTGTACTTTTTTATAATTGAGGAAATCTATATTTTAATTATTTAATTATTTGATCATACAATGTGCTAAAACCCCTCTGACCATTTTTGCAACCATTTATATAGGCACAGAAACCAACCAGAACACCCTTTGCTACCAAATAGCAGCTTGTTAACAGCCACTCTGAACACGTTTAGCACCTGCATGGAAATGATTGTTTTTCAGTCTATTTGATAATTAATATTAATAATTAACATCAAAGGGTTAGTTCACCCAAAAATGAAAATTCTGTCAGTAATTACTCACCCTCATGTTGTTCCAACCCTGAAATTTGTGTTCCGAAGATGAACGAAAGTCTTACGGGGTTGGAACAACATGAGGGTGAGTAATTACTGGCAGAATTTTCATTTTTGGGTGAACTTTGTAGTTATTGAAACTTAGAAAGGGTAAATGTCTTTAAGTTTCCTGATTCGTGTTAATCACTGGAATTTTTTTTTAAGCCCACAGCTTTGACAAACACCACAAAGCATCTACAAGTTCTGAATGAGTACAATGATGTTTTTTATGCAGGGGCACAGCAGCAGCAGTTCTATTGGAAAGATTGAGCCCATCTCTCCTGTGAGCCCGGTGCCCTTGGAGGCTGACCTGGACCTGGTTCCCTCCCGCCTCTCCAAAGAGGAGCTAATCCAGAACATGGACCGTGTGGACCGGGAGATCACCATGGTGGAGCAGCAGATATGCAAACTGCGTAAAAAACAGGTAAGCTTCACCCCAGTTATCTTGAAGCTGTAAATATGTAGAGAAATTTAGATAGCAACTCTATCAACCCTCAAATAAAAATGTCCCCGCCAAGCACATTCTGCCCATTTATTTGCATAAAGGATCCTAAAGTCTTTTTTTCAGAAAAAGTTGGGCTTCTAAAATAAGCACCAGGAAAGCATTGCAAAGCTTTTTATTTAGAAGAGGACAAGGATTTATGTCTAAGTACAGCTCAGTAATAAGCACAAGTAGATACTTTTCATCCACGGTGGAGTTAGTGTTATGTAATCTGGACGCTTTGAGTCTGGTAGCAGTAGTAGATGAGTGTGTGTGCGGGGAGCAGAGTTGTGATTATTGTGTGGTTATTGCCTCAGCAGGCCACACGGCTACAAACACACTTCCTCTGTTTCCTTTCGGTCTCCTTCCTTCCTTTTTCTCTCCCTCTCAAGCTCTCTTTCTCTCTCTTGGCAGTGCCATTACTCAGTGGTCTACTTCAAACGTTAATGCAGCAGTATAATTTTAAGTCACTTATTTCAGCGGAATAATTGCATCAAGTACATTCAACTATTATGTTTTAATTTGTAAATGAGTAAATGTATGTATAATAAGACTATTTTATAAGGTTGCACTAGAACTTATTCTCTCTCTGATATTTCTAGTCTTTTTTTTATTTTATCAGAGCCATTGCAGAAAATATATAAGCAGACCTTGTCTTCTTGTAAAACAGACCCCCCCATTCACTTGAGGTTTTGGACCGTGTCCAAACTGCTGCTCAATAAATCGAAGCCACCTGCGCTCCATGGGCTAGTCCATTGTGGGGTCGATGGGGGATTGGAGAGGGAGTGAAACGGCTTTGAGCCTGAGTGGTTGTATAAGTACAGTCACGCTACCAAGAAAAATGAACCTCTCCTCAGCTGCCCCACAACCCCATACTGTTTTTTTCTGAAAGATTTGGCATCTTTTTTCAGTGAGGTAACGGACCCCGTCCATCTCTCTCCTCTCCCCTCAGGTTTGCTCCAAGCATTAAAACATCTGGGGCAATTAAATGGTGCGGTAAACTTTAACGTAAAGCGGGGGAGGGATGGAGGGAAGAGAGAAGTGAGAATATCAGATTACCGCGTGTTTGTCTGTCTGTGAGCTCGGCGGGACGGCTCGTTTATTTTCTTTAACTCGGCGCACACACAGCGTCTTGATCCTGCACTAGAGCTGATCCATATGAGTTTGGGCTTATGTTTGCAAGGAGGCCCATTTCAGGATTTCATTGCAGCCAGGGCCCTCTGTGTTTGTGTGTGCATCTGTGTATAAACTGATTTTTTTTTTTTTTTATCATTAATCTTTGACTATTAAGTTGTCTCGCTGACTCTTAGCTAAAGTGTTAGTGCTCTTCAGCCAATCAGAGAACTTTTCTGCCATTACTTCTGATGTGGAGGTAGTGTTAAAATTAGCTCACATAATATTGGATCCTTGTTGTGTCTGTCTGCTTATTTTAACATTTACATTAGTCCTCTTTCATCAGTATAAAGAGTTTCAGTATAGTTATTTTTAGAGATGCGCCGATGTTTCAGCCATTAGTCGGTTGTTTGAAAACAGCCGACGATCAGGGCCGATTAAATCCTGTCAATCAAAACAGGGTGTGGAAAAATGTGTCTGACTGGAACTCATACTGTATGTGAAGAAAATGTCTCGTGTTGAATTGAGGGCAAGTTAATGTAGTGCGCCTCCCATCCAATAATTCCAAAGAGCTTTGTTACTTTTGATATGAAACAGTCTCATCTTTCAAATTCTGTCCATTTTATTCTGGAATTCAAACAATAAATGGTGTTTTGACACTCTTAAATGTGACGTGACAGATCGCTGTAGTGCCTCAGTTTAAGCGGCAGCCAGAGCACAAGTCTTTTCTTCCACATTATTATAAGTTATATCTCGAAAAACAGACATGAATTTCATGTATGAACTTGGTATGTTGAAAGATGCAGTACAACTTAGTCTCATATAATCACTTGTTTCAACCGTGGAAAGATGTCAATAAAACAGCTTGTGAACAATGCCTCTTAATGTTGCATTTACCTCAGGAAAGTTATCCTATGTTCACAGTTCATTTAGTTAGCTAAAAAAACACCAGAGAGGACCTTATTTACTGTTAAATATATATGCATGTTTGAATACATTTCCCATGAAGACAAGTGCTTATGAAAACTGCTTATGTGCATCTGCATTGCATACAAACATTTCACTTTTTATTGGCGTGTAATTATATCTGAAAATAAATAGCAGTTGAATATAATACCTCTGTTGTTAATTGTAAACTCTAATATTATAGTGTACCAAATGAGATGGTTCCCTGTATAGTTTGCAGCATTATTTGAAAGAGATTTTTTTCCTTAAGAAAAATCAAGCTTGGTATCTTTCATTTTTTTCTTTTAGCAACAACTGGAGGAAGAGGCTGCGAAACCCCAGGAGCCAGAGCGCACCATCTCACCTCCACCCAGTGAAGCCAAACACCGCAGCCTTGTCCAGATCATCTATGATGAAAACAGGGTGAGAACAAAAACACACATACTGCATCTTGTATACTGTGTGTGTGTATATATATAAATAAATATAATGTACTGTGCAAAAGTCTAGTATTTTGTATTTTCACCCCAAAAATGGAAACATACCTACAAAGCTACCTGAAAAAAACTAAGTGTACCTAGGACAAAAGCCGTTTTAAACGTGTATGTGTGTGTCTATATTACTATGTTAGACAAGTACACTCACATTTTAAACAAATGAATGTTGATGTTCAGAGAAAATCATCTCTGAACGGACACAGGTAAGTCAAACAGCTGTGACAGATCTCAACGAGAGAAACGAGCTGTTAAATGTGTAATGAGGTGCTGCAGTCAATTGGTGGTGAACTCAGCCCCTCCACCACCATATGACTCAGAGACACAGTCCATTATGCTGAATCACACCACTTCTCAAGCTCCAGAGACTCTCTCCAACAGAACCATTGGCTAATCTTAATTCTCACACTGTGTACTAAAATGACTTGGCTGTTAAAAGCATAATACATACTTGTTAATTTGTATAAAGACAGTACACCAGAATTAGCATGTGCCACCTGTCATACATTTGTGTATTGATGTGACAGACCCCCCTCTGCTGCACATTAGCATTAGGCTCTAGCTGGAAATTTGGACATTAACCCTCTGGGGACCAAGAACGCGCCCGCGCGTTTTGCTGTTTTTTTTTCACATAGCAGCAACATAGACTTAAAATACTCCGTCATTTATGGTCATATAAATAAAATCAATACATGATTATAAACTATAGAGGGTCTTCTTTTTTTGTGTACACTCAAATTAACATCAAAACCTTGTGTTTTTTTAAAAATAAATAAAATAAACAGGGTGCGCTTTCAGCCCACTCTGTCTCCGCAAAAATCTTTCTGAAACATGTCTGGAAAATGAACGGAAACTCCGCTAATACTTATCACACAAACATGAAACATACGTCTAAAGAACGCTTTAAATTTCTACTTTTAAATAAAACAATTCACATTTAAAACAAATATTCTCCTGCAATGTAATCTGTCAAAAACTAAAGAGAAGTACAGTTTCTCCTGTCTCAGCTCATTATCGTTAATTTGTTCACACCCACTCGCAGAGCGCGCTATTCATAAGATAATGTGTTGAGGCCATTTGCAAAATAGATAAACGCCCCCAGGCAAATGCTGTAAACACACAATATTTTTTAGTCAGATTAAGATTCGTCTTGCGCGGCTATGAAGAATAATCCTGGGACATTTACCACAGAAGGGCTGGTTTATTTTCACTTCGAGGAGGAGCAACAGATTCAGCTGAGAAGTGTAAGTGTTTTGTGCTTTGTTCTAATCGCGATATAGAATAACGTTAGTGTCTGTAAACGGACAAATAGCATATCCCACTGTTTAAATGTGAATTATGTTTCTCTCTCTCTGTGTGTGTGTGTGTGTGTGTGTGAATGAATGAATGAACGCACAGATACGCACTGTTACAGACGAAATAAAAGAACATTTCTTTGACTAGTTTTGGATAAAGTTTTTCAAATCAAATAAGCATCAAATAAGCTTCAAAATAAAGACATCAAATAAGCTTATGTTTTGTCAATAAACTAATCAACTAAGATGTTTGTTCCAATGCAAGCTATATCAAAATAATGAATCCTCAACTTTGAAATATGTATGATCAAACTAAGACATTTATGGAAAAAGACTATTTTCTTTTCAAGATGTTTCCAACTCTAACTTTGAACTGAAATAAAACCATGTCTATATGGTGAAGGGTGTGTGATAGAAGTGTCCAGAGTATGCACCCTGTATTTTAAAGAAGAACATTTAATTATTTGCGATACATTATTCATTCACAAAGAATTCAGGGACATTATTCATTTCCCTAAAGGTTAGAGTTTTCCTCATTTTTTAAATTAAGGCATTAAGATTTTTTATTCCTCTTCTTAGTCAACTTTAGCATGGGTGTTTTCACTTATTCTAAGCAGTGTGTGTGTGTGTGTATATACACTCCCGTTCAAAAGTTTGGGGTCAGTGAGAATTTTTTTTTTATTTTTTGGAGGAAAGAAATCAATACTTTTATTTATCAAGGAATAATTAATTTGATCGAAAGTGACAGTAAAGACATTTATAATGTTACAAAAGTCTTTTGAACTTCCTATTCATCAAAGAATCCTAAAAAAAAAAAAAAAAAAAACTGTACAACTGACAGACCAACAACTGTTTCAACATTGATAATAATAATAAATGTTTCTTGAGCATCAAATCCTCATATTATACTGATTTGTGAAGGATCATTTGACACTGAAGACACTGACACTGGTGATGCTGAAAATTCAGCTTTGATCACAGGAAAAAATTACACTTTACTATATATTCACACAGAAAACAGCTGATTTACACTGGAATAATATTTAATAGTATAACCGATTTTTGTTGTATTTTTAATCAAATAAGCGCAGCCATGGTTAGCAGAAGAGAATTCTTTTAAAAGTATTTAAAATCGTACCGACCCCAAACTTTTGAACGGTAGTGTATATATAATTAAAAAGCAATTTTAACCAGAAACCAGTCCTTTGTTGTGTATCTTTGGATTATGTTGTGTTGTAAATAAATCCAAACAATCTAAAAGCCATTCTTTTTTAAATCTCCTCATTCTTTGTGCAAGGCTCCTCATAAGGGCCTGATAGCACCTAATAGGGCCATTATGGGAGGGTCTTTGTCTTTCTCAGGTGTGAAATGCCATACATATTAATGAGAGATCACGCCTCCTCGCATAAAGCTTTCTCACACTAAACACGTCGTACACATTATAAAAGACTTTATTGACTTATCTGAATGAGTAGTCAGGATGATTCTCACATAGTTTTGGAGCAAATATTCTAGGCTATGTGATACAATTTTCAAAAGTCTTGTGAATAAATAATCAATATGTGTTTTGTGGCGTTATTTCAGAAACTTTTATTTTTAAGTTTTTCAATAACCATGCATAAATAATATTCTCTCAAAAATACAAACATGTACATACATGTTGCTCAAATATTATGGTAGCCCCTTTTGTGCTATATAGAGTGAATTTACACCGTTGCCATTAACATGTTTATAAATAACTGAAAAAAGCACAAATGTCAGTGCATGTCAAAACATCCCAAGGGCCTCAAAAAACCCTTGGTCCCCAGAGGGTTAATCCTTGCCTGTACTTTTCTACAGTAAATTAGTAAAAAAGTCAAAACGGAACCTTTACAGAAAATCCAAATGGAAATAGCATTCCATCTAGGCTCCTTTGAAATACTTTGAGGCACTATGATTTGGAGTGCACTACTCTTAAGATTCTATGTAAATTAGGATGCAGTTGTGGAAAGTCACACGGTATACAATGTGTCTGTGGTGCTAGTGGTCCCTCTAGTGGGGAGAGACTAGACAAGAGGATTAAAGAGGAGAGTCTCAAACCAGGGGTAGGGCTTATATATAATATAAAACATTTATTTGCATCTTGTTTTTATGAGAAATTGACTTCAAGTACTTTGTTAATAACTTTGTTACTAACAGATATGCTAGTAATGGAGTTTTGGCTGTGATAATCTGTTAACATATGATTATAAAGGCACAAAAAACATGATGACAGTTATCCAGTATTTGGGCCATCTGAGAGTCCACTATGTAGCACATTTTATTTGTTAGTGTGGTGGTTGTTTTTTATTTCATTTCTTTTCTGGTTGTTGCGTCTTGACTGCGTCTCAAACCACCTCCTGAGGTTTTGAGTGATCAGATTACTGGCATTTTTGGCACAACATTTCTGCATACCCTGCTGAAAGCTTCATGTATCTCCATCATAATTGAATCTGCCTTTTACTGTTCTCTGCCTCAAGTGTATCCAGGTCTGTTCTTTCGTTTCCTATGTCAGGTGGTTCTGGCTTCCGTCCTGCTGTGATCTTTTAATCACACCCTCCATCTCTTAATCCATTAAGGTCTCTCATGCTGCGATACTGCCGAAGAGGGCTCACTCCTTCCTGCTCTCTTCCAGGAAGCACCTGATGCTCTCTGAAATCCATGAGATAGAATACAGAAGCTAGTTTTGTTGAAGTGCCAGTATCACACCGATTCACAGTGGGAGAGGAAATTGTCTTATTAAAAGTGCCATGTTCTACAGTACCGGTTTGTTGTTTTCCTTTGAAGTGCACTGATAATGTTGGACAAGATTCCAGCAGGAAACCTGTTTTGTATCCTTTCTCCCTGGGAAATAAAACAGCTAATTTGGCTACTGTACCTTTAATACACCTCTATGTAAATGACCTGTTATGATTATCTAACCTATTTGCATTGGTCAAATCAATAAAACAGCTAATCAATTAAAAGTTTGCTTTAACAGTAAACTAGTATTCATTAAAATACAAATACTTCATAAAGCAACCATGCATGCAAATAATGGAATTATTATTTGTATAAATATATATATATTTTATTTAATCAGTTTTTAGAATAATATATGTACCTATGGTTTACTTTATAGTTTAATGTAGTATTATTAATAATTATTAGTAATATTATTTAATCATTTTAATTACATTTTGTAACTTAAATCTACTATTTAAATCGTAGCCTTCATAATATGAAATAAAGATAAATTGAAGAAATAACTAATAGAATGATCAGTTATCAGTGCAGCTGCTGTTTGCAGCCCTACTTATATGAAATGAGTAGTTCGTATGTCAGGGCAGCTGAAGTTGCTGTATTCTGAATAGTTATGTAAATAGGGGTGGTCATAATTGTTTGTGCTCATGGTTGACGTCATAATCAGTGATATTTGAATGACTCAGTTTAGTCTTTATAAGGAGTGTACCTAGTATTGTGAAAGCAAGGGAAAGCCAGTTTTCCATGTTGCGTCACCTTTAAAATGATGACAGGCTGATTGTTTACTTATTTTGTGACTATTTAAAATCAAATCTGCTGAATGAAAAAAAAAATGTTTTCAGAGTGTGAGCTGCTCTTAGTGAGGTCATAAACAAGAATATATTGCATACACTAGGTAAATGAAGTAAGCATCAATGGATAGTAGAAAGTGCCCTATTTATCCAATCTCAGTAATGGAATAAAATCACCCCATTATTTTTAGAGGGTGCATTAGTACCTGTGTGTGACTATTCTTAAAAGTTTTCAGTTTTGTTTGCGCGAGAAAAAGATAATGTACTTTTAGGGCTTTCGTTTTGTATGTTTGTGTGGAAGAGACACACAAGCCACACAAAACTGCCAGCAATCGGCTGCTTTTGTCACCATATCCCTATTTGGTCTCCATTTTTTCTCTCTTTCTCTTGCTTTCTCTGTTGCAGGACAGCACAGACTGTAATAGATTCTTTTTTCTTTATTGCATCTAATTGGATTACCTCCCCAGCCATCTTTCTCCCCCCCCCCCGTCCTCGTTCATAAAGAGAGGGGAGAGAGGCAGAGGGCAGCGAGTGTATTTTGTTGAGAGCTCTATTAATAGTACATCCCTTATACACTTGCTTGTTTATGTGTGTGCGCTAGAGAGAGTGTAAGGTGTGTTGCTGTGGTGATGTGCTGCTGACATGTGCGCCTTGTGTGTTTTTTGAACAGAAAAAAGCAGAGGAGGCTCACCGGATCCTGGAGGGACTCGGACCCCGAGTAGAGCTGGTGAGTCCACATTTATCTCCTTACTTCCTTTTTTTTTCACATATCGTCCCTCTTTTTCCCCAGCAATCTTCTCTATTAAAAATAACTTGGTGTCAGGTGATCCCAATATTTTAGTTTATAGCAGTATCCGCTCAGCTCATGTACTTGCACAGTGTACTTTTCAAAGATAGATGGGGTCATGTCACATTAGCCAGTTATGTCAGAGTTGACATTGACAGGGTCTTCAGTTTGTCATCATGTTCTGTGACAACATACATCAAAACCATCACAATATTTTAATATTTAACAGGTTTTTCTAAAATGAATGAGTTGATATCTCAAATCATTAAAAAAAGATTTTTTTTTTTTTTACATTTATGTGAGCTTCACATTTGAGGTGTATGAAAACCTACTGCTGTAACATGACCTCCACAGTGTGAATTGAAATATGAACTCCTTCAGCCTGCGAGTCTGTGTGACTACATACACTGCTGCCTATTTGTTATCAACATGGCTGTTGACCTCGTGCAGAAGCGTTTAGCACAACTCCACTCATCATCCATTACATTAGAAACCAAACAGGAAGTGACCTCCAATGTCTTGATAATCAAGATGATAGAGCAGCCTTTCTAGTGCCGCCCATTTGATCAAATGCTCCGGACTTCTGTGACAGAGAAGAGACTTACTGCCACACATCCATTTTCCTTCACTTCCAAAATCCCTCACTTGACCTCTCAAACGAGTGCATGATGATGATGATAGCAGAAGGTTTTAGATGTGGTGTTGGAGAGGACAATCTTCTTTGTGTTTCTGGGCTTGGCTGAAAAATGGGACGTTAGAAAAAGAAAAGTTCTCCCAGAGCTGGGCTGCCTTGATGTGACCGCGGTGTTTGTGTGTGTGAAACTGAACTCTACTGCTTTCATCTGTCTCCCCTACAGCCTTTGTACAACCAGCCGTCTGATACCAAACAGTACCATGAGAACATCAAGATGTGAGTATGCCTCTCTCTGTCTCCCTCTCTTTCCTTAAAAACTCAAACAACTGTGTCCACTGAGATATATAGAAATCTGAAGCTTAACCAATTACAATCATGCTTATTTTCCATCTCAGTTACTGCAGTTTATAATTATTGAGGGATGAAACTGAGAACTAGCATTGTAGGCACACAGGCATAGAGCCCAATTAATATTGTAATATTGTAGTTCCTTATATGTTCGTTCGTTTAGTCCTTCGTTTGCAGAATTTATTTGGTCTTTGTAATTTTGCTTCTGAGCCCTGTGCATCATGCAGCTGAAGACCATTTGGAGTTTTTGAACTGTTCTCTTGGTTGCACAGAGAAGCGCAAAAAAAAAAAATATATATATATATTATCACTTATTTATTGTGGCTAACAAATCCCCTACTTCCAATTTTCTGTAATCCTTCTATGATGTTTTGGCTTATTTGGCCTCATAATATTCAGACCGGCAAATGTGTGCGTGAGAAAGAGAGAGAATACATATTTCAACCTTTCATTTTAAGATTTTGTACTCAGGAGTCCTTTATTGACCTGAGCAGCACCAGTGAGAAATATTTGTGTAAGAGGTGATGTGTGTGTAGATCATGGGCGTTGAGCTGCATTCTAGGTTCCAGTGTGTCTCGTACAGCAGCTAACAGTGCCACCTCTGCAGCTACACAATTAATCTCACTCGCACACGTACATGCATTAACCAACCATTTAAAGAGATCTAAGTGCACCCGTAGTACACGTCAAATGCACAGTCTGAGAGATATCTGAAACCAGGTGCACACACACACCCTCATGTAGGAATCAATCATTAATGCAGGATGAGAGTAGATTAATGGTCGTGACCTTTGTCGTGTGAGAGGTTGGCGGCCAGGAATTAATCGGTATGGAGTGAGAGAATTAAGGCTGATTACTAATCTGACCTGCATTGCTAGCTAACTAACTCACTCTCTGCCATTGAAGGAGGGACCCAAGTCATATCTATGGACATAAGCTGGGCTCTTTTATTTTGGGCCAGTATGCAAAATGTTTATGATTAGGGTTCCCTTCTATCACATAAAGCTCACTGATATGTAAACTTAGGCTTGAAGTTCTCTTGATGTGTGCATGTAAATATTGATAAGATGCATTACAGAAGAAGTTTAGAATTGGCCATTTTTGTTAAGTTTAATGTTTTAACTTTCCCCTTTACAGAAATCAGGCAATGAGGAAGAAGCTCATTCTGTATTTCAAAAGAAGAAATCATGCTCGGAAGCAGTGGGTAAGTGATAGCATTCAAACACACACAGACACAAACACACAGCAGGACGGCATTGTTAGAGCTTCCTGTACCTGAATATTAGGCAACCAGCATATAGCTATCCATAGAGGTGGTTGAAGTGATCATGTCATGGAAGTTATTGAATGATGGGTTGGTTAAAATGACATTGGAACTGTTAGTTGTCAGTAATCAGTTTCATTTGAATGTTTCCTCTCTTGATGACTCTACTGCAGTGTACTCTACCTAGATTTAGATTTTCATCCTTTACACTCTGACTGGTGTGCTCAGGAACAGAAATTCTGTCAGCGCTACGACCAGCTAATGGAGGCCTGGGAGAAGAAAGTCGAGCGCATTGAGAATAACCCACGCCGCAGAGCCAAAGAGAGCAAAGTGCGGGAGTACTATGAAAAGCAGTTTCCTGAGATCCGCAAACAGAGAGAGATGCAGGAACGCATGCAGAAGTGAGTGGTCATATGCCATCTTGAGCTTTGGAGACTTTTGCCTGGTCATCATGTGTGGTTTCATAAGCTCAGGCTGATAGAAATGTGTTAACGTCTGTATTTGTGCGTTTTTCTACAGTAGAGTGGCTCAGCGAGGTGGAGGTCTGGCCTCAGGGGCCCGCAGCGAACATGAGGTTTCTGAGATCATCGATGGCATTTCAGAGCAAGAGGTAGGAGTGCAACTTTGATAATCACATAGTGTTTCCTGCACTGCTTTACAGCACCACAGCTGAAGATTACACTTTACCATAGTTGTTAGCTTGCAGTCTGAATTTGATGAGATACGTTTTTGTTAAAAAATATCTATTGAAATATGAATCAACAAATCAAATCTTATACCATTCAAAAGTTTAGAATGGTAATTAAAAAAACAATACGTTTTATTTACCAAATACACATTTAGTTGATCAAAAGTGACAGTAAAGACATTAATAATGTTACAAAAGATTTCTATTTCAAATAAATGCTGTTCTTTTGAACTTTCAGGAATCCTCAGCCTTGGTGAGCATAAGAGACTTCTTTCAAAAACATTAAAAAAATCTTACCAACCCCAAACTTTTGAACGGTAGTGTATGTATGTTTCTTAAACAGTATTGTATACACTCAGGGGCTGCAAACGATTCTATAGGAAATGCTGTTACACACAACAGATAAGCATACTCTTGAAAATAAAATGTATGTGTGCCTGTCTGGAAAGTACACAAATATCAAAGTGACTTTAAAACTCAAGGTCTCTTGCACAACAAGGTGGCTGATCTACTTCCTCAGACACAGATTCAGTGTCCACATATTTGCTTGTTTCTGACTTTGCTTGTGAAATGACTGTTTCTTTTTACATATTTATTTTTCTTTGCCTTTCTTTCTCTTTCTGCAGAATTCAGAGAAGCAGATGCGTCAGTTAGCCGTCATTCCTCCCATGTTGTTTGATGCCGAACAGCAGAGGATAAAGTTCATCAACATGAACGGGCTGATGGACGATCCCATGAAGGTCTACAAAGATAGACAGGTCATGAACATGTGGAGCGAACAGGAGAAGGACACTTTTCGTGATAAGTACGTTCTGCGCTCATTGTGTGGATGTGCATGTTGATTTTGCATGAATGAATGAGGAGTTGTAAAATCTGTACTAAGATGTATCTGCATGTAGGACCAGCAAGAGCTTTCAAGAGCTCAGCAGTTTTTATGCATGTGGTCGTATTAGTTAGAGGTGCAGTGCTAGGTAAAAAAACAAAAAAAAACCTGAACAACTGAAATCTGTGCTGATGCTGAAGTAAGCACGACTATTTGAGCAGACTTCTCCAGTCATCTACAGGCCAACTGAAATAAACATGCAATAGAGTTTTAGTGGCCATGAGTTGCCCTTAATTTTAAAAGCTTAAAAAAGGACAAAGAAGTGCTATAAAAGCACTATAACAGTAGCCCATATGAATAGTGTGACTAATAAATCTGTTAGTCAACCTGGCAAATTCGCATGACAAACTTGAAACAGTTGCGAAATCTGTGTGGGGAAATCTTGTATTCTTATTGAAAAGTTGCTGAACAATGGTAAATGTGACCACATCTACACCACCTCTGCAATTTTTAAAAAACATATACACCACTTATAGTTCAAGTTTGACTTGACATTGTAGCGATGTGATGATATGGACATTTTTGCATATAGATTTTCATTTCAGTGCATCACTACCAATCTGCACCGAATTTGATTTTAATGTGGCTCTGTAAAGCACTAGGTCATGATGATGCAGAGTTCAGCAGCAGAAGGAAGTGAGAGAGAGATCTAGTCTAGTTCTTAAGCATGACTTTTACTGAGTGGATGAGGAACCTTACCAGACGAATCCACCTTGTAACGAAAGTCATTCAAATAATGAAATGGTTAAATATAGCATTTGAAGGTTGTGTTTGCTCTGTATCACAACTCTTCCTCTCCCTCATTGCAGGTTTATCCAGCACCCAAAAAACTTTGGCCTGATAGCCTCCTTTCTGGAGAGAAAGGTACACCTGCGTCTTTATTAATACCATCCTCTTCATCTCATTGTTTGCACTGCAGGCTGTGTGCACTGCATGAATATGAACTGAGAGTATGAGCAGAACGAGTAAGGTTTGAAGTGTTGTGCGTCTCTGCTCACAGACGGTGGCTGAGTGTGTCCTGTTCTACTATCTGACTAAGAAGAATGAGAACTACAAGAACATCGTTCGCAGGAACTACCGTCGCCGAGGCAGGAGCCAGGTAAGCTTGAGACTGCATCTCCCATCCTGCACTTTGACACTTTAATGGTGTGTTTCATTCAAAGTTGTTTAAAGTAGCAAACCACCAATGCTAGTATTTGTTTTTGAGGTTGACTATCAACAGAGAAGATCATTATTTTATACATTGTAAAGAGGTTTATTATTGTGTACTGTTACAACTTTGAAACATGAATATGTTTTTTAGCTTAAAGCACCGCCATTTTGCATGACGTCATATACCAGCATCTTTGCAAAATCAATTGTAGACTTTTGCAGGTTTATGTGTTCAAATTCAAAGTCCCACATCAAGTGGTGTCCTATTGCCAAGTAGAAAGCTGGAATTACGACTTTACGAATTGAATGGAACGCAGAATAAGCACTGAAAACCTCAAGGATGTTGTCTATGGCATTATGCTACGGTATATTAAATAGTATAAACATTGTTTATTTGCTTGTGGTTCTGTCCACTCTTTTACAGCATTTACGTCATGATTAGAGGTCGACCGATAGTGGATTTTACTGATACCGTTAACTAGGTTTCAGTGTTGTAATGTAACGGAGTACAAATACTTTGTTACTGTACTTAAGTAGAAATTTCACGTATCTGTACTTTACTTCGCTATTTAAATTTGTCAACTTTCACTTTTACTCCACTACATTTCCTAGATAAAATGTATACTTTTACTTCGTTATATTTCCACGAAGAATCTTCGTTACTACAAAATAAAATCAGAAGAAATGTGTGCGACTGCAATAAGGGAGGTTTGGCGAATCACTGCTCCTAGATTGCATTACGCACGCTCTATTTCAGCGTAATGCTTGTTTGTTGCTAAAGGAGGAGGAAGCACAACTGAAACCGCCATGGAAGCACCTACTGGAGGACCGGGGGGAAACTCCTTTTCCTTGATTTACTGAAGCCTATGTGTAAAACGCATTTGCAGCTGCACAGCTAGCACATTGAGCGTCTAGCTCGCTCATCGGCTGTGCTGCGGCAACTGCATATCCAATGCCGCGGGCGCCTCTGACGTGCGACCAATGAGCTAGCCCCACGTCATTACACGTCAGAGCCTGCCAAGGGGGCGTGGCCTTAATTTGCCATTATAGCAGGTTTAACCTATGGGTTTAACGACTGAAGCGACAACTCGCCAGGTTACGGCCGGCTACGCAATACTCGTTCCCTCTCTTCTTTCGAACGGCCACAATAAAGTTCACAATCAAAGTTCTAACCGCTTGCTTTAAAAAAAAAAAAAAAAACTTTTTACTTTTACTTCAAATACTTAAAGGTATTGTAGGTAGGAATTTTATAAAAAACTTTTTTCCAAATTTGTTTAAACTTTCTGTATATATCAATGCATAATTAAAATGTAAGTACTCTGATAAAAAGAGTATAAAAATCGAGTGACTCGCCCACTTGCGCGTACCCGTTTGATTTGAGGAATTCAAGAGGCACGGAACCTAGGAATAGCAAAACAATGGCAGAGAAAAGACCAATCAAAATTCACATATGCAGTTCGCGAAGGCAAACCAGGCAAAAAAAGGAAGACAGTAACGTTACTAGAAAAGGTAATGAACAAAAAGTCTTTGGATAAACAACAAAACAAAACGCGTGTCAATATCGGCGTGGCTTTCCAGCGATGGCGAGAACTGAGAGACCTCAAGGGGCTGAAAAGTGACGCCTTGTGACGACCTCCTCTGCTTCGCCCTCGACCCCGGATCTGTCCTCGAGCTGACGATGCGGTTCTTGTCTCTGGAGTGTAGTCCTCATCAGAGTCAACAATGCTTTCATCATGGAAACTCTTACATGCAGAACACCATATATGTTATGAATGTTACACGAAATTCATCTTCATCACAGTGTAAATCAGTGGTTCCCAACCTTTTTTTGTCTGAGACCCCCTTTTTCCCAAGAAAATATTTTAGGGCCCCCCTTCACATTTAATGATACTATCGGTCTTGTAAGCTTGCAGCAAGGATGACAAAATATGTTTTTTTTTTCAAACAAACGGTATGTTTATGCACAAATAATAGCCTATAATATTAAAAATACAATAACAAAAACATCAGTAGGCCCTTTGTAATTTAAAAACGTAAGCCTAGGAGAAGCCTATAAATTGGCCCTATTTGAAATGGAAAAACAAAAATATTCACACTGGTGTGTAGGTAAAAAAAAGAGAAAGAATATAAGCTATTTCTAAATGACTGCTGTCTGGGGCCTCAATACTTGCATGTTATTTGTGAGGCTTTATTTTTTACGCTTTTAGCGCTATAGCGAGCGATAATAAACTTGCATTTATTAACAGAATAATGCGTCTTTCGGAAGAACATTGTAGCAGGAACTACATCTCTCTGTGTACGTCTATGACGAGTCACGCAGGTACTGGGCAACTCCGCAGCGGCAGCGATCCGAACCAGTGTAAAATAGTCCCAATGTAAACACTTATTATAGGTGTACCATAGTGGTTCAGGATAAGACAAAAACACGGATTGGAAAATTGATTCATGATGAGCTCGCTCATTATATACATTTTGTAAATTTTGAACAGAAAAAAGTTAAGGACTTTTATTTAATGCTCATTGCTCAAACCATTCAAAATATGACGTGACCCCCCCACAGAGCTCGCTGTGGCCCCCTTGTGGGCTGCGACCCCCCTGTTGGGAACCGATGGTGTAAATGATGGCAATGGAAAACCGTGTATCATGCAACCTGTTTTTAGCTTTGCCTTATAGATAACTAGCTCGTTAGCGAATCAATAAATATATATTTTAAATTTTACCAATATCAATATGCTAGCTTGATAGTGAGTAGTAAAATACATCTTATTTGTTTATCTTCATAATGATAAAGTTAGATTTTTTTTATTACATGTGATTCTGACATGATGTCACATGTCACTACATGCACTGCGCTCCTTCCTCTCCGCTCGTCTCAGGTAAATAATGCGTCTTCAGCTCAGCGGTCGGAGTCGCGCGTTCATGTGTTTTTGGGGCGTGGCTTTGGAAGGAGCCCAGAAGGGAGGGGGTGGAGTGAATGGAAATAATGAGCTGTCTTTAAAACAGTCGTGAGAGGTCTACAGACACTCGGTTTTTATACTTTCTTTTTCAGAGTACGGGTACTTACATTTTAATTATGCATTGATACAGAAAGTTTAAACAAATTTGGAGAAAAGTTTTTTTTTTATAAAATTCCTACCTACAATACCTTTAAAGAGCATATTGCAGGTAAAAAAAAAATCTATATTAATATATAACCTTGTATGAAAATACCATATGAAAAGGTAATGCAGGATTTAAAATGTTTTAAAACGACATAAGGGCACTAATTTAGTAGATAAAGTGAGCGTTTCTTGGACTGCTCGTAATAACGGCTTTTTTTTCAACATCGCGTCATTTTACGTCACGCTAGGGAGCCTCAGCCTCGGCTCAGTGCAGAGTAGGCTGGTATTCAGTGAGAGCGGCCATGAGTCAGTGTGTTTTCGGTAGTTTTTGTATTTCAATCTATCATCGTCATGGTAAATTATTGTGTTTGTGGAGGTTGCAAAAACTCCGGCCTGTCAGGACATCGAGTCCACAGGTTTCCATAACAAGAAAAAGGACGGTGCTGTATATCTTTCGTGCCTGGTGCGGTTTGTGCAGGTGAAGAGACGGGATTTCTCTTCCGCATCGGCTTCGAGAAACGCGGTCGTGTGTAGCTTTCACTTCAGATCGTATGTAGCGTTCACTTCAGATCGTGTGTAGCGTTCACTTCAGATCGTGTGTAGCGTTCACTTCAGATCGTGTGTAGCGTTCACTTCAGATCGTGTGTAGCGTTCACTTCAGATCGTGTGTAGCGTTCACTTCAGATCGTGTGTAGCGTTCACTTCAGATCGTGTGTAGCGTTCACTTCAGATCGTGTGTAGCGTTCACTTCAGATCGTGTGTAGCGTTCACTTCAGATCGTGTGTAGCGTTCACTTCAGATCGTGTGTAGCGTTCACTTCAGATCGTGTGTAGCGTTCACTTCAGATCGTGTGTAGCGTTCACTTCAGATCGTGTGTAGCGTTCACTTCAGATCGTGTGTAGCGTTCACTTCAGATCGTGTGTAGCGTTCACTTCAGATCGTGTGTAGCGTTCACTTCAGATCGTGTGTAGCGTTCACTTCAGATCGTGTGTAGCGTTCACTTCAGATCGGAGGATTATCATCCCGGCGATATGATGGAGTTTAACATGGGATGCCGAAGCAAGAATATTGATCGTCGTATACTGTACCAATGGCATCAAATAGTGTGATATAGGTAGTCATGCCCTAAATAGAGGCAACTTGTAATTGAAAAACAAAATTACTAGGTTGATTAAATATTCAAATCTTTAATTTTCTGTTTATGTTATTTATAATGTATATAAAATATGTTTAAAAAATGTACTTGAGTATGTTTTTAGTAACTTACAATAGAAATATACTCAAGTATAGTTTTTATACATTTAATAGTATACATCTACCCTAAACATACTAATGTCTGCTGGCCTGATATACGATGGTAATAATCTGTACAATATTGTGAGCACAGTGTATATCGTTAGCGAACGTGTGATATCTATAAGCACGTCTCTCACCAAGACACCTGTCCTGTTCTCCACTGGTTCTCCTCACACCACAACTCAATGTGTCTCTGACCGTTCTGTCTAACATTAATCCTGGCCTGTCCCTGCTCTCTTGGCAGCATAGCAGGCTCATAATTGTATGGCTGTAGTCCGTCATACGAGTAAGTATTTCCTCAGCGTCCGAAATGTCATTGCGATCTATTGTTTTCCTGTTGTTTGAATCGACCGCTCTCCCGCCCGTTACGTCACGCCCGCCACACCCATTTTCAGACGCGGAAGTAAAATTTTCTCACAAAAACGACTCCAGAAGCTTCTGTAGCGTATTTATAAGAATATTTTAAAGAAAATCTAGTTCCTACATTATTTTTCTATACATTGACTCGTTGGGTCCTCTAACCTGCAATATGCCCTTTAAAGTCCCCGTGAACCGGAAGTTGCAAACGACTTTTCTCCAGTGTTGTGACGTATTTCCTAGAGAAACGGAATACTAAATGAGGCAAAATGGTGGGCGTGGCTTTTTCCCCAACTAGCACCCGTCTGATTGGATCTAGAAAAGTAGGTGTTTTCATTCAGCCTGTCTACTGTCAGTTGGAGGGGCGTGATTACGGATGTTAAGAAGACGCCCAAACCGTGAAACCTACGTCATCAGGCAAGGTCCTCCAACGCAGAGGGGAGGGGAAATTTCAGATTTTGATTAAAGATTACGAAGCCAAATTTTTTGTGTGTGTGGATTGACTTGCATGGATGAATTGTTCACCACAAAACGATCAATTTAGGCAAACAAAGTAAGTATGGTCAATTTTGAATTCATGGGGACTTTAAGTACATTAAATATCAGAAAATTGCTTTTGATACTTAAGTACAGTATATATCAGATACTTTAAGACTTTTACTTAAGTAATATTCTAAAAGGTAACTTTCACTTCTACCAAAGTCTTTTTCTAGGACGATACTTGTACTTTTACTCAAGTATTGCTTTCTAGTACTTTATACAACACTGCTAGGTTTGACCGTAAGTGCCGATAACCAATTAATCAACCGATATTTTTAAAATGGATACTGTATTAAAAACCAACATAACACTCCAAGTAAAACAGTGCTGAACTAAAATGTGCTAAATTAAATAAATATATAAAAATAAATAAATTAAAATGAGAAGTTCTACAGAACAAATTCTACAGAAAATAATTTAAACGTTCAAATATTACAGGTTTCTTTAGCTATAACCTAGAAACATACGTAAATTTCATAGGTAACACAAGTCCCATTTTTTTAACAAGGATGTATTAGCTAGCTTTAATTAACTATTTGCATTATGCAATATACATTTTAACTGCATGTATTATTATTTGAGCAATACAATTGTACCTTGATCATTCATGTTAGTTCATAGTACATTAACTAAGGTTAACAGATAAAATAGAAATTAAAAGTCAATTTAAAATGTATTACCGGTAGTAAATGTTGAAATTAACAAACTAACAATGAACAATACTACAACATGTATTAATGCTAAAAATGTAATCTTATTGTAAAGTGTTGTAAACCATTTCATATAAATCTAAAGAGTCTGCTATGCTTAAAGATGACCATCTTTAAATATCTGGAAAGGCCAGAGCATTTAAATGACATAAATGTAGACCTATATTACATGTATAGTCTCTCACTTAATTTGCTTCTATATTAGAACACTTGATGATTATCTAATCAAAATAACAATATGAATTGCAGTGATAAAAAAATTATTTAATCGAAATGCGTTTCTAATTTGTTTGTGTCGGCTGCATGAACATATCAATGTTGTGATTTGTTTAAATATGCAACTTTAAATATGCTTAAAGTTACTAGCTTTAAATTTGCAACTTCCCCAGCTAATGAATGCATAAAAGTGACCAGCTGGATATAAACTAATGCAAATAGATGGTAACAATTACGACATTAAACATTTGGGTCAGGTTTGCGTGTGTTTTGTCACATTGTTTTAACCGCTTGAGGTACTAATGTTAGAGTCCTCACACCCTCGACGACAAACATACTTCTGTTCTTTCTCTGCTAATGCAGCATATAGTCAACAAATTAATTACTTTATAATGATATTGCAACATGGACTGTAGTGTTCTGTATTTTATACCATTTCGCTGTCTGTGTTTTAAATGCGCATCTGAAGTGTCAGCGCTCTCCGTGCAGTGTGTTCTCTCTGTGCTGCGTGATGTGTTACAATAAACAACACGAGTCGCCAGTGGTAGTTTTTATTTGGCCTCTAGAGGCCGCTCTCGTTCTGTGTAATGCCAGCAGTCTCTTCTCAGCGCTCTTGTACTGTGTAATGACAGCCAGCACACTCTTCTCAGTCGCTCCAGCAACGGACGCAACCCGGAAAAACTATCGGTGTGGATTTTTACCGATAACGATAGTTCCACCAATCAACTATATCGGTACCGATATATCGGCAAAACCGATGAATCGGTCGACCTCTAGTCATGATTATAGTGTTTATAGTGGCAGTGTGAATTTGGCTTGTCTTTTTAATGAGTTTGTTTTATTAAAAATGAATCGGCATGATTCTAATGAGTATCACAGGCGCACACCTCAAAGTGAGCTCAAACCATATGAAGTAATTATCCAGCTCTCTGCCCTGTTGGAGTCCGCCGTGATTCTCTCCTGATCTAAAACACACTCATTAATTTCTGTACGTGTGTGTGAGAGAGATCACACACACAGAGAGTCACGGCACTGTTGCGTCGTGAATGTATGAATGTTTGTGTTTTGGTTTAGAGAGAGAGAGAGAGAGAGAGAGAGAGAGAGCAGAAGATGAAATTGTTAGAAAGAGACCTCTCCCTGTGTGTGTGTGTTGCCTGCAATAATAGCAGGCTCAATAAAAGCTGATAGAATAATGAGCCCACAGACCAAACACATTTGTTTTACTGGTCTTCTGCTGCCGGAGCAGTTCTGCTCAGGTCATTAAATATTGCCTGATCTTAATGGGCTCGCATTAAAATGCTCTCAGCCAGTGCCACAAACACAGAAAGCGAGGGATATAGCGGGATGAGCCTGATGGGTGAGAGAAAGCATGAACAAAAGGGAGACAGGAAAACAGAAAGCAAGTTACAGTATGGCTGAGTGCATCTGTATATGTGTGTTTAACTGTGCATGAATAACTGAGTGTGTGTGCATGCAGCACTGTAATGAGGGATGTGGGCAACTGATGTGACATCTAATTGTACTGAAAAAGCCCATTGAGTTTTATCTCTTATATTGCTCAAAATAATCTATTCAGCTTAAAAGTAAAATGTGGAAACTATAATATAGGATGGCAATACTCATCATGTGAAATACAGAAATGTATCGACTTTTCAGAAGTTTGGTGTCAGTATTTTTATGTAATTTTATATGCATTATTAAGATGAAGATTAATATATAAATGTATTTAAGAACAATATATACTAATAATGAAATACATATTAAAAACATAAGCTTGTCTAGATACAAAATAGTCACCAATTATTGAGTCTTGCCATTTTTATGCAATCTCTTGGAGTTCATTAAAAATGTTGCTAATCAGGACCCCAACAGGAAGTATAAGACTTGAAATGTCAACATGCTAAACTCCATCTAAAACTACTCTAAACTGTTTTTCAATCTTGTGTTATTATTGTGCATGCAGTTTTCATGACTTCATTATTAATTGAGAGCCTACATGGAATATATTATATTTACTTGGAAAAACTGAATTGCCACACCACAGGACCATTGAAATTAAGTAATGAAATATTTTTAAAAAACTGGCGTAAAAACACAGAAATTCCCTTATGCAAAATCATACATGTTAAAACAAAATCATGTTGGGAAAAACATATTGATGTCTGGTTGTCAGCTTCCTGTGTGTGTTTGTTTGTGCGTATGGTTATTTGAGGCATTTCTGCACTCTTTCACTCATTGATCTCTCTGTCCTCGGTCCCCTCAGATTCTGACTCTGTCCCCTCCCCCTTCATCCTTCTGTCATCCATTTCTCCCCTTCGCACTAGCCATAGTGGAGCATATTCTTTCCTGACAAAAATAGATGGTTTATGGGGCCTCATAACTCAAAATGGAATTCTTATGTGAAGGAAAACCCAGATACATAGAAGTGAGACCTGGGTGATAGGAGCACCACTTCCTCTGGGTGTTTTCCTCACTGTGCTTGCTTATAAAGAACGTCCTGGTTCTAGACAGCTTTTTTGGCATCGTAGATAAGGTTGAGCTTGAATGGACATTTTCTATATAATCAGGATGTTATGTCCATTTATGCCTGCAAATAGGAGAGAGATGTTTTTTGAGAGGAAGCAATGTTTTTTATGCTTTTGTTTTGATTGGCTGTGCTTACAGAATAACCAACAGACACAGCAACAGGTGAACCGCAACAACCAGGAGGAGAAAGAAGAAAAAGAGAAAGAAAAAGAAAAAGAGAAAGAGAAAGAGAAGGAGGGAGAACGTGAGGAGGAAAAAGCAGAAGGAGAGGAAAAAGAGGATGGCATGAAGTGAGTATCTTTCGCTCTTTTACTCGTTTTCTTTTCCTCTCATCTCACATCAGTCTGTCAGCTGTTTTTTTTTTTTCTCCTTGCGTTTTCTCTCATCGAATCCTTTGAACCTGTGGCCTTACAGCTTGTTTTTCTCTGTGATTCATCTTAAACAGAGAAGGCACAGTTACATAACCGGCAGGTGGAAAAAGCATTCTGCTGACTTGCCACTCAACGCTGGTGCTAAAGTCCTCTGATTCAGAGCTCTTTTGAGGCGTTTGCGTGTCACAGACTCTAGGTTAGAACTGTGGTCTTGATACAGAAATTTCAGTAGTCAATACCAATTTCAAGTTTTTCAATTAATCAAGTAAACTGTCAGTAATAAAAAAAAGTTAAATATATTGTATATAAAATATATATGTATTAAGATCTATTTAAATTTAATATATTTTAGAGTAATAAATAATAAAAAGACCAGTGAGTGGGTTTGCTCCTTGTCATGGTCTTTTTCAAAATTCATGGTTGAGTTGTTTGATTAATAGTAACAATGTAATCGACTGGTACTTTTTGTAACACAGAATTCTAGTTTCCACAGAACAATGGCTATGTACAGATCCAGATTCTGTATCATTTCAGCCTAATTTTATAAGCTGTTTCTGAATGCTAGTTCATTCACAGGTGCACACACTATTTTAAAATACACCAGGGAAGTACAGGTAACAGTGTATTATTCTAAACTAAACTGTGCAGTCAGCAGTGCTGTAGGATGTGATTAGAGCACATTAGCACTGGCCCGAATACACAGCCCTCAGTATGCACCACAGGACGCCAGCTATACATTAAAGGAGTACATTAAGCCGAGTCTGTGCCTTTCTCCTCCATGATTCTCAACCTGCGGGCACAGCTGCTGCTCCTATATTTAGTACTGTATCTGCAAGATGGATAATGTGCAGGTAAGATAAATGAGGGTCTGCTCATCCCACAGCCACTTCCTGAAGGTGGGATGAACTTGCTAGAGAGACAAAATTTGCATAGTGTGTTCATATGTGTGCATGTGTAATTTTTCTATTCGGAGTGCTCCGAATTTGAACTGAGACATAACTGCAAATTATTTATTAATTCATAATTTTTGGCCTTTTTATTATGGCTTTATTGGATAGGAAAGCGTTGAGATTAGAAAGGAAAGCACGGGATGCAGAAAGAGAGGTATGGGATCGGCAAAGGACCCCGAGCCGGGAATCAGTCTCCGGAGGTGAAGTTGGGCTATATGTCGGAGCACTGCCCATGAGGCTATCAGCTCCGACTCAAGTTGCCTTATTTTAAAATGAAAGCTTTCAGCGAGAATGATTCTGATTTTATTACATTTAGTGTAAATGGAGATAGGAAGTGGACATGGTCAAGCCAGTTGAGTCTGTTTGTAAGAGATCTCGTGGAGAAATCAAAACAAGTGAGCTCAACAGCACACGCAAGGAAACTCACAGTAGCTCATAGAAACATACTGCGGTGTATAACATAATATAGTTATAAGCAACTTCACACTACCGAGAGTGCTGTTTTCCAGAATATCTGCATGATTGCCATTTATTTTATCAATATTTTATTCAATTAACCAGTGGTTAATTTTAAGTAACTGACATTTTAGACACTATTGACTATTTTTGCTGTAATTCGCAAATGAAAATAGTTCCAAACAAAGCCACAGCAGAACTGTTGTGCGTGTCCAAGCAACACACTGCAGTGCTGCGTTACGGAATGATTCAGTGTTTTTTAGCGAATCGGGTGAGTCAATGATTTACTGACCCATTCTTAAAGACAGTTTTTTTTTCATTCTTGAATGAATCAGTCATTTGAATGAATCGGTGACGCATATTTAATATATTTATTCAATTTCGGGGGGAAATCAATAAGCAGATTATGAAATGAACAATGTAATACTGCATCAGCAAAAGGTTGGATGTGACTTTGATTTTTTTTTTCTGTTCTTGCAGAGATGACACATCTGGTGAGGACGGGGAGGAGAAAGAGCCTCCTGTAGCCGTTAAAGGCCGTCGCACCGCAAACAGCCGCGGACACCGGAAAGGACGAGTCACCCGCTCTATGACCAACGAGCAGGAAGAGAACACTTCACCTCTCAGCAGTGAGCTAGGTTAGCAAACACACTCACATACCATTGACTTTTTCAGTGGGCCTCTAAGGGTCACTTGTTCAAATGAGTTCTTTGTTTTGTTCTCTGCAAATTAACCGTGCACAACCTTGCTTTTATCGTACAACATGGCCACATTTTAGTTTTAAAACTTCACTTTTCTATTTTCCCCAAAATGTGAGGACATTTTAACAGCAATATTAACAGAACAGTAATGATCCTAATAATGAAATACTGCACAAATGCTTTGATTTTTGAGTAGAAAACATCTGTCCCCTCACTTTTTTAGAGATCAGTGGCTCATCTAGCTTAGCTAAGAGCTTCGCTGATTGTTTCAGTTAAAAATTATTAAAAAGGTGCCCTATACTTCAGCATGAGGGTCTAAACACGGCCTGTGCCAGCCCTTGGCCTTTACTAATGTACATCACAAGAGCTTGAGTCATTTCAATAGGTCACTTCACCTTGAGTTTCTGCCTTTGACTGTTTATGCTTTTAGTTTGTTTTAGTTCATTTTTCAGTCATTTTAAGTATGGATATGAATTCTTTATTTATTTTTATTTTCAGATTTGTTAAATGTTGTTGATTGAAATATATTATCGAAACATAAACAGTTTTGTAGTTTTTAATCTCTACTCATTAAATTAGATGGTAGCTGCGCTTAGAGATTATAAAACAGAAAATAGCTGCTCAGGTTGTTACCAAGATGGTTGCTGACTTGCCTTATAAAGACTTTTTCTTCTTTGTATTTTAGCTAACCTGGAGATGAACGAAAGCTCTCGCTGGACTGAAGAGGAGATGGAGACGGCAAAGAAAGGTCAGTACTTATTTTGTGTGTTTGTGTATTTTGTCACTACTGTGTTTATTAAATAGACAACATGCCCACTGGATGGATCCATTTGTGCACATACAATTAAGTTAGAAAAGGTCATAATGGGCTTTCTGTTTGTCTTCATAGGATGTTGACGGCTAGGATTTCCCTGTGTCAAATTAACTAGATGTAACTCTGCCTGATAAGACCTGTAACACTCAGCCTAGCAACTCCACAAACATTTACATGAGCATTAAATCACACTCTGTGCCCTTGGCCTCATTTCACACACATCCACTCAGTGATACACATAATAATGTGTCTAAATGTGGGTACTGTGTCTTTACATGACAGCTGGTTGTTCAGATCTGCTGCGTTCAGAAATGTGTCATTTACTCGTGGTTTAACAAACAGAGCTTCGTTACTGGACCTTGAAACGTCTTCATGAGGGATTGTATTTGAGGGAAAAGGACAGAAAGCTTGAGTAAAGAGCAAAGGTCTAATCTTCTCTCTTGTTCGTGTTTGGACTGTAATGTAGACTGTTAGTGTGTTAAACGGCCGCTCCGCTGACCTACTTCAGATGAGCTACTTCCACGTCACTCTGTTAACGGCTCTGTGTTTCTCTGGCACCGGCACATATCTGATCCATCGGGCCGCCTGGCTTACGCTGCTCTGGCTTACAAGATCTGTAACTTAATAACACTTCATTAATGATAAAGTCCCCTGAGCCAAATCAGATTTGTTGTTTACAATCACAAGAACTTGTCCTTGCCTTCATGCCAACAAGTATTCATTTATGTAATGTAGAATCTGAATCTGATATTCACATATTTTTTTTTTTGAAGAGCGATCTTCTATCTGTCCTTCATTTATAAACATTTAAATGTTTTTAAAGCAAGAACCCTATTTATTTAATTAAATAAATAAATATTTTTTTTTTATTAATTTACTCATTCATTCCTTAATTTATGTATTATGTATGTGTTATTATTAATTTATTCATTCATATATTTAAATGATTTTGTGCAAGAACCATGTTTATTCATTTAATTATTTAATTACTAATTAAGTAATTTCTTTATGTATTTAGTTATTCTTTTAAATATTTAAATAAATTATTTTGGTGTAAGAACCCTATTTTTATTTACTTTTTAATTTACATAATCATTTATTTATTCATTCATTTTCCCCAACTTTGTTGCATTTTTATTATAAATGGATTCGATGTGTCTCTCATTAACATGGTCTCATAGCCACAGTCATTAACATGTCTCTCATTAACACCGTCAAAGCAAAGCCTATACCTCAGTCTTTCCCACCAGAGTGCTGCTGTTATTTTTAACGTCAGTGTCCCCGCTTTATCTTCTAGTCTGTTCCCAAATATCCTGCCACCCCTCATCCCTTGACCCTTTTAATGCCAGTCAGATACCCCGTCTGTCCTTTATAAAGCAGCTTACAGCTCTCTATGCTAATGTGTTTATCCGTGATCATTTTTAAAGTGAGAAAGAGAGAGACAACAGTAATATATGTTAATGGCACCTGGCCGTCTCGCTACATTCCTGCACAGAGAGAGAGAGCAGCTCTCTCTAGTCACTCTCTGTGACTAATGCGCGCTGGCACGGCCTTTTAAAGGCAGGGTGGCCTCGCTTGTGTGCACGTCTCTGAGTAAATGAGGGGAAGTAAGTGTGTATGTGGCTGTGAGGACACTTCATAGCAGGATAGCGGCCTATGTATATAACCCAAAGCTACTGCACACAGCTCTCCTCATGTGTCTTTTTTTAGATGCTTTTCTTTAGAGACAGTAGCTGCAGACTGATGTATGTACTGTGTATGGATATAAACATCATCTTATCTGTAGTAAACAAACGTGACATTCTACTTGTGTTTTTTACTTGCAGCTGTATGTAAATAAACAGGAATGAGTTGCTCCAGTTGTCACTCCTGTAAATAAGTCAGTGTGAACAGAACAAGATTCAGCTCTCAGAAGAGGAGTGACAATTTCTTTCTTTCTTTCTTTCTTTCTTTCTTTCTTTCTTTCTTTCTTTCTTTCTTTCTTTCTTTCTTTCTTTCTTTCTTTCTTTCTTTCTTTCTTTCCTTCTTTCCTTCTTTCTTTCTTTCTTTCTTTCTTTCTTTCTTTCTTTCTTTCTTTCTTTCTTTCTTTCTTTCTTTCTTTCTTTCTTTCTTTCTTTCTTTCTTTCTTTCTTTCTTTCTTTCTTTCTTTCTTTCTTTCTTTCTTTCTTTCTTTCTTTCTTTCTTTCTTTCTTTCGCCTGGCTCTATTTTTCTGTTTTCCTTTCTCTGTTTATTTCTCTCTCTCTCTTTCTCTCTCTGTCTTTATTCCTGTGTCTTATGCTGGGTTTGTCTTCTTATCCATCTGTATTTCTGTTTTTCTCTGTCTCTGTCTCTCATTCTGTTTATTCAGTCTCTCTCTGTCTTTATTCCTGTCTGTCTTTCCCTCTGTTTTTATGTCTTCTGTTTTCTGTTTTCTTGGTGTTTTCTGTTTTTTTTTTCTGTCGGTCACTGTCATTCTGATTGTCTCTTTCTCTCTCTGTCTTTCATTCTGTCTCTGTCAGTCTTCCTCTCTCTCTCTCTCTCTCTCTCTCTCTCTCTCTCTCTCTCTCTCTCTCTCTCTCTCTCTCTCTCTCTCTCTCTCTCTCTCTCTCTCTCTCTCTCTCTATATATATATATATATATATATATATATATATATATATATAAAATTTCTGTCTTCTCTCTTTGTCTGTCTTTCTCTTTCTCTATTTCTATCTCTGTTTTATGTTTTTCTTTTTTTTTATCTGTTTCTTACCGTCTTTCTATCTGTCTTTTTTCTGTCTTTCAGTTTCTTTCTTTCTGTAGCTTTGAGTGAGTGGTTAGATTCGGTTTTTGGAGTGGAGAGAGAAAGGAAGTGGCTGAATTGTGGGTTGGCACGAATTAGAGGATTTGGCAAGCCTCACTGTTCTCTCTCTCTCTCTCTCTCTCTCTCTCTCTCTCTCTCTCTCTCTCTCTCTCTCTCTCTCTCTCTCTCTCTCTCACACTGTTGTTAAGGACTGTATGTAGAGGTCACATTGAAGAAGAAAAGCAGGTCAGTTAGGAGGAATTGCTTTCCCTCTGCTTTCTCATGATATCAACATCAAACCTCTCACATCTCTATCCCTTTCTCTCTATTCCTGCCACAATCTATTGGTCTTATTGTCTGTTTGCTTTAGTGTTTGAGCGTAGATACGTTTTGGCGCAGATAATATGCATTAGAGAGCGTAGAAGAGACAGAATGATAGAAGAGATCAAATGAGGTTGTGGAGGGAGGGTGGGAGGGAGAGAGGGAGGGAGGACGGGCATTAGGGAGGTGGAGTCACTGCATCTCAGCTTCACTTTGCTGTTAAAGTCCAGCCAAGCGGCAGCCAGTGAAGAGGAGTGGAAAAAAACTGTGGCCTTGAGACAGAAAGAGAGAGGGCTGGCGAGAGAAAGCATGTGAGTTTGATAAATAGACAGAGAGAGAAAGCGAGAGAGAGAGGAAAAAGAGAAGGGGTGCTGCATTTAGAGAGAATCAGAGAAACAACAGCACAACTATCAGAGGAGGAATGGGGAGCTCATTTCCCTCCCAAACACCACTCCCTTTTTCTCTCTCTTAATTCTTGCTCTTCCTCACGCTGTGCTGGAGCTGCTCTGCTGTGCATTTCTATGGAGATCATGTGGGCGAAATGAAAAGACGGATGGAGCGATAGAGAAGAGTGGACCAGTGGACCGCATTTTTTCTTTATGCAACTCCCTGATTGGATGATCCACAGTGGGCCAGTGCTGAGGATTTTGATTGGATGCAGCATTGGCACATGCTCTTGAATTACCAAAGCTGATTGGACAGCATCGTCTTATTGGAGTACTCTTATATTTGGCGGTCTGGATTGTGTAGTGAATAAAAAATCCAGTGTTTTGAAATTGAAGATGGATGAAAACTGCATTTCAGGAAGTTGATTGGGCTTTCACTGGATTTAAATGCAACTTTGCCATTTGTTGGATTGGGCAATAATAGAGTTTCCTTGACTTTTGACCTGCCATGTAAAAGTACTTCTGGGTGATTGTGTGTGTAAGAATTGCTAAGCAGGCTTTATTTAAGCAGTCTTTGCACTGTCAGTGGGTGTTTGCCATGTTACGGAGATTAGGATGTGCGTGTGTTTCTGACAAACAACTGGAAGTTTGAGGAATAAACAGAGACGAAACAAGGATCAGAGATGGTGAGGATAACAAATCAGACTTCAAGTGATTTCTTGCTTTTGCTTTGTTTGTTTGTTACCAATGGCATTTTTTATTGAGCTCAATGCACTTACACTCTTCATTCTATCTCTCCATCTCATTTTCTCTCTCTCCCTGTCCAAGCTAAATTGTAGCTTTGATGTGGAGGGCAGCAGTGCTTTATTGTGGTCACTAGTGATATAAATCAAAGCAACTATTTAGACTGGACAAGATAGGTTCCTAATGTGAAGCTAAACAACACACTATGACTTGGCTGGTGTCTGCTGAGCGTTAGTGTGGTGTTAAATGATTGAGAACAGTTCATGTCAGGTTGCTGCCCCACTTTCCTTCTTCAGACGGCAAGCTGCACCAAATGATCTTTGACCTTTTATTGAGGTTTTCCTTAATGACGACGCAAGGCTGGCCGGATGGGAACGCTTGAGGCTTCCGTAACTGGCACACAAGGATTTTGTTTTATTAGTGTTGAAAGATATTGTCTGTTCCGCAGTGTGCAATATAAATCTTATTTGAACTGTAACAGCCTTGGTGCTGCCCTATTTTGAGTGAATAAGACTTAGTGGGACACCAGGTAGGGAAAAAAATATGTGAGACCTACACATACACTGCTGTTCAAAAGATTGGGGTCAGTGAGATTGTTTTAAAAATGTTTTTGAAAGAAGTCTCTTATGATAACCAAGGCTGCATTTTCTATTTGAATATATTTTCAAATGTAATTTATTCCTGTGATGGCAAAGCTGATTTTTCAGCAGTCTTCAGTGTCACTTGATCCTTCATAATATCATTCTAATATGTTGCTTTGGTGCTAAAGAAATATTTCTTATTTTTAAAATATTTGTAACATTATAAATGCCTTTACTGTCAATTTAGATCAATTGAATCCATCTTTGCATAATAAAAGTATTCATTTATTTCTGATCACAGTCTTTTGAACTGTAGTTTAATTACTAAATTTGCCAGTTATTTTACACAGTTTTTCTCAAAATTCACAAAAAAGAAAACTGAAATGTTTAAAATCCATTGAATACTGTATACAACGTATACTGGTCTCCCTCACCAGGTCTCATTTCCCTTTTTTTCTCCTCCTCATTTCCCGTTCTATGTATCAATAAAATGAGAAGTGTTTTAGTTGCGTCATGCAGTCAGTGATATGGTTTCTCATGCAAAGAAATAACTATGATGATAGGCCTATCACTCATAGCTCTGTTTCCTTTTTTTGCCTTAGTAAAGTGAGAATGTTCCTTCTCTTACTTTCACTCCATAGGTCTGCTCCTGTATGGTCGAAACTGGTCCGCCATTGCCAAGATGGTGGGCTCCAAAACCGTCTCCCAGTGCAAGAACTTCTACTTCAACTACAAGAAGAGACAGAAACTGGATGAGATTCTGCAACAGCATAAAATAAAATCGGTCAGTTTCTTTTACAGACACGTTTCCTAGAGAGCATGGGATTAATTATTTATAATTGTCAGTGGTATTGGTTTCATGTTGTGTTTTTTGTAGGAGAGAGAGCGTAAAGCCAGGCGTAAAGGTAAAGCTCTTCAGAACGAGGAGGCCAGCGCTCCATCTGCTGCAGAGGAAGAGGAGATGGAGGGATCGGGAGTCAGTGGCAATGAAGAAGAGGCTCAGGAGGATGGAGAGGGTACGTACACACACAAACACTTGAGACTCACACCGCCACATCATGCAGTGACTTTTAAAATGATTAATGTCCATTCAAACACAGTCATTTGTTGCAGATTACTCATTGACTGTTTAATGGAAGTAATGAAGCTCAGTGGTAACATCTGAGAAACAAATTATCAGTTTAGTCATTTTTTTATCAGTCATAGCTATAAAACGAGTCACAATGAAACACCTCTGAGGTTTTGCGGTTGCCAGGAAATCCCACAGCAGCTCGTGCTTTTCTCAGAATATCAGGAACACGTGGCCGAGACTCACCTATGACCTCACCCGTGATAGAACCCTGACCTACTTTTGTCAAGTTCGGAGAAAGAGGCGACACTCTGCACAAACATGGATTGCTTTTTCAGGGGAGCTGCATTTTGTGAAGTGACTAGAGGTGTAGTTATCACTGTCTTGCTGTCAAAGTGTGTGTCGTGCTGTGGATGTAGTTTTGGAGCTGTACTTCCACAAGTCCACCAGGCAGCTATAAAATGAGTGCTTTGTCCGGTGTGTTTAGCAATCAGGTGTGGCTTGCCGATAAATGGCTTTTGTAAGCTTTCATAAAGCCACATTTATCAGGTCAAAGCTTGTGAAAGAAAGCCAGCAAGGGAAGTGCTTATTATGTTATGGTTATTGTGTAATTACATCCAGCTGGGAGAGCACACTCAGCGGCTGGGGTTTGTTATGCCAGTGGGAAAATGAGGCTTATCATAATCCCCTGCTGTGTATTTACTAGTTATGTTTACTTTTTGATTTTACTAGTTATGTTTACTTTTTGATTTGACAAAGGACATGTTAGATTTAGATAAGAGTGATTCTTTCGTTTAGGAGCTTTTGTGGCCAAGGATGATTTTAAAAATGTTTCATATTGTTAAATGTTACATTTTGTCCGAGTTTCATTATTTGGGACTTTTTAACCTCCTTTTTATTATTATTATTTTATTATTTTATTTTTAAGTGATATTTTGTATTTATGTAAACAATTTATATACTGCTGTCATTTCCATCATGCTAATCATTTTAGAGAACAATCAAGTTTTTCTAAAAAAGTTTCTCTAAAACTTTTTAAGTTAATTGACAGTTTGGAAGAAATTAATATTTTTTATTCAGCAAAGTTGCATCATAAGTGACAGTAAAGACTATTTCAAATAAATGCTGTTCTTTTGAACTTTCTATTTATCAAAGAATCCTGAAAAAATGTTTCATGGTTTCCATGAAAAATATTCAGCACAACTGTTTTCAACATAGATAATAATAAGAAATGTTTCTTGAGCTCCAAATCAGCATACTATGATTTCTGAGGGATCATGTGACACTGAAGACTGGAGTAATGATGCTGGAAATTCAGCTTTAAATAAGTTATTTTAATTTGTAATAATGTTTCTTAATATTACTGTTTTTTGTATTTTTAATCAAATAATGCTCCATGGGTAAGCATACAAAAAATCTTACCTAGCCCAAACATTTGAATGGTAGTGTATTTTACCAAAAAAGGCTGATCAAGCCCATAATCAAATCTTTATTCCAGGACAAGGGAGAAATGATTTAACGTGGATAAAACAACTGAAACAACTTTAACATAGCCCTTCATACAGCCCTAAACCATCTAGAGCACAGTGGGACATATGTGAGGATGCTCTTTGTAGATTACAGCTCTGCATTTAATACAATCATCCCAGACATCCTCATCAGGAAGCTGTCTGACCTTGGACTCTCTTCTTACATCTGCCACTGGATTATGGACTTTTTAACCAATCGGCCCCAAAGTGTGAAGTTCGGCCCCCACAAATCCTCCACCCTTACTCTCAGCACCGGCTCCCCTCAGGGCTGTGTGTTGAGTCCTCTGTTATACTCATTGTATACTCATGATTGCAACCCCTTTTACCCTAGCAATACCATCATAAAGTTTGTCGACGACACCACACTTGTCGGTTTCATTTCAGGGGGAGATGAGTCGGCCTATAGAGCAGAGGTCCATAGACTAGTTACATGGTGCACAGAAAACAACTTGTCTCTTAACATCGGGAAAACCAAAGAACTAATCATAGACTTCAGGAAGTGGTGCGCCGACCACCTTCCTCTTTCCATCAATGGGTACCAAGTGGAGAGGGTTCAATACTTTAAATTCCTGGGAACCCTCATCTCGGACCGACTCACATGGACGGACAATATCACAGCAGTGGTAAAGAAGGCACAACAGCGTCTGTATTTCCTCAGACTCCTTTAAAAAAAACAATTATCTGAGAAGCTAATGGTGCTTTTCTACCGTTCCTCCATAGAGAGCATCCTGGTGTACTGTGTAACTGTGTGGTACGCTGGATGCTCTGCAGCAGACAAGAAAAGAATACAGAGAGTGATCAACACAGCACAGAATATCGTTGGTTGTCCTCTACCCTCACTACAGGAAATTGCTAATTCAAGACTGCTGTCTAAAGCCACCAAAATTGCACTTGACTGTTCTCACTCAGTCGGAAAAGGGCGGCTTGCTCACTTCAGGTTGGTGGAGAGATCCTTCCTCAAGTGGAGGAGTTTAAGTATCTTGGGGTTTTGTTCACGAGTGAGGGAAGGATGGAACGGGAGATTGACAGACGGATCGGTGCAGCTTCTGCAGTAATGCGGTCGATGTACCGGTCTGTTGTGGTGAAGAAAGAGCTGAGCCGTAAAGCAAAGCTCTCGATTTACCGGTCAATCTACGTTCCTACTCTCACCTATGGTCATGAGCTTTGGGTCATGACCGAAAGGACAAGATCCCGGATACAGGCGGCCGAAATGAGCTTTCTCCGCAGGGTGGCTGGGCGATCCCTTAGAGATAGGGTGAGAAGCTCAGTCACTCGGGAGGAGCTCAGAGTAGAGCCGCTGCTCCTCCACATCGAGAGGGGTCAGCTGAGGTGGCTCGGGCATCTGTTTCGGATGCCTCCTGGACGCCTTCCCGGGGAGGTGTTCCGGGCACGTCCCACTGGGAGGAGACCCCGGGGAAGACCTAGGACACGCTGGAGAGACTATGTCTCCCGGCTGGCCTGGGAACGCCTCGGTGTCCCCCCGGAAGAGCTGGAGGAAGTGTCCAGGGAGAGGGAAGTCTGGGCATCTCTGCTTAGACTGCTGCCCCCGCGACCCGGCCCCGGATAAGCGGAAGAAGATGGATGGATGGATGGATGTTCTCACCCTGGTTACCCGCTGTTCAAACTGTTGCCCTCAGGGAGACGCTACAGATGTAAAAAAAACAAGGACTAGTAGATTTAGGAATAGCTTCTTTCCTAAAGCAATAACAGTCCTAAATGAAGCCACATTTTTTTATTATTTTAATGATGCAGTTTGCACAGCTACTCAGCACTTTGTTACATTAGAATATTTATTAGCCCCTTAGTAGGAAAGTGGGTAAATTGGGTTTTAAATTAATATGTTGTGTGATATGTTTTATATATTGTATGTGTTTTAATGATGCACCCTACTAGAGTGGCTCTATAATTTCATTGTACTTAAATGCAATGACAATAAAGGCATTCATTCATTTAAATGGAGTGGTTTATGTAGGTTGTCTGCGAACCGAAAGGTTGGTGGTTCAATCCCCAGTTCCACCTGTCCAAGTGTCGAGGTGTCCATGAGCAAGACACCTAACCCCAGCTGCTCCCAATGAGCTGGATGGCGCCTTGTATGGCTGACACTGCCGTTTGTGTATGAATGAGTGTGTGAATTAGGGGTGTGCAAAAAAATCGATTCACATTTGAATCGCGATTCAATCTTTACCGATTCAGAATCGATTCATAGAATTCCAAAAATCGATTCATATATTTTTTTTTAATGACGTGCACGGGTGGAGTGGCAATCGGGTGAGTCGGGACTTTTACCCGTGGTCCGGTAGTGTTTCGAGGCTGCGAGGGCCGGTCTGATTAAACATTGCAAGTTCTTGCCGCCCGCAGGTCAAACTGTGCAGCCTCTCTGCTCAACCCGTAAATAAATGCATCGATCCACAGATCTTATGTTTGAGTTCTGTAGATCTTTTGCCAAGCGTGTCAGAGGTTACGGGTTCTAAACCGCACTCGTATAGTGTTTTCTCTCTCTCATCAAAACCGAATATGTTCATCACGTTTGTGAGCATTTTATTTTGTGATTTTACCGGAGTCTCCACAACGGCGATAGATTGAAGCGCGCGTCCGAGTGAAGACTGCGCGAGCCACAGAGAACACTGTATCCATGACACTGATAGCAGCGGCAACGAGCGCTCAGCTTGATTTCAAAAACAACAGATCTCTTATTTAATAGCGAACTAAATGAATGGTCTGCTAGTTAACTGGAGATACCCGCAAATTACGCCTATGAACGACTTCACTGGATCTAAACAAATCAATCTAAACCATAGATGTTACCAGTAGCGGTGGCTTTTTAAAATCTATTTAAAATAATTTCGCAAGGGTTCTATGACATTAGTATATATTTTTAGGAAGTTCAATGTGCCCAGTCGAGTTCACATTTAACCACATTTAGACCACATTTAGCATAATTGTTTGTTGATCTGACTACAGCACTTTAAAGCTAAATGTAAAAGCTTCTATTTAAGTTTTATTTTAAACTTGAATTAAATGTAAGCTGGCCAAAGCTTGGCACTTTGCACTTTTTAGTTGCAGAAGTTTTTATTTTTGTATGAAGTCATATAAAGTAATATCAAACTACATTTAATTTGTTGTGTTTTTTTTTTTTTAAATTGTGTCTACTGCAATCAATCACAGGAAAAAGTAAACTACATTTATATACTGCGAATCGTTTTTTGAATCGAAAATCGATTTTGAATCGAATCTTGAGACAAAAAATCGGTATCGAATCGTGACATTTTCTGAATCGTGCACCCCTATGTGAGGCAAATGTAAAGCGCTTTGGTGGCCATTGGGTCTGTGAAAGCCCTATATAAATGCAGTCCATTTACCATTTAAAGCAGTCCGAAGTGCCACTAATCACCCAATCACCAAACCACACTCAACAGATCAGCTGCCATCCATGTCCTGCCCTTTTACAACGTTTCCCATCACCTTTTTTTTCAGGTGGAGCCAATAACAGCTCAGACACTGAGAGCCTCCCTTCCCCACGCTCCTCCGACGACAGTAAGGTCAAAGAAGAGGGCTCGGCACGGCCCAAATCTGCACCCAACGCTAGTTCCTCCTCCTCATCCTCCACGGACAAGGACATGGTAGCTGTGGAGACGGGGCCGGATGAGAAGCCAAAAGTGGAGAGGGGAGAAGGGGAGCAGGTAGGAGTGAAGCAGGAAGTGAAGATTGAACCAGGGGAGGGTGGTAAGGAGGTGGCAGGAGAGGATAAGAAGCCTCCTGCCCTGGAGGTGGAGGAAGGCAAGAAAGAGGTCAAGAAGAAAGAGCACGGAGGAAAGAGCGGAGCTCACGACAGCGACTCCAGCGCCACATGCAGCGCCGATGAGGTGGAGGAGACTGAAAGCTCAGAAAAGAACAGGTGAGAGTGTGCATGTGTGTGTTTGGCAGTGAGAGTTGATTGGTTGCTTGGGTGGGGTCTGATGTGTTATGTGGTTAAGGAGGCTGGGATTGTTGATTTGTCCTGTAGGACTCTATTTTTTCCATGACAGCAAACACTGTATATGTTGGCCGAGTCAGGGGAAACATTACCCTGTTAGCTTGCCAAACATAACAGAGCTAGAATTGTGTGTGTGTCTGTCTGGCTATCTTTTGTGTATTTTGCATTTTACATTTCCATACGATTGCATGTGGAAAGTCTATATTTGTTTATGTGTGGCTGGATGATGATTAAGTGTTTGTGGTTTTGTGGCATTAATGGGCTGTTTACAAAGACAGTAAATAAGAGAGAATGAGGCTCTGACCATATTAAGCAATAACACTTCTCACTCTCAACACAATGACGTCTCCTAGGCCGAGTTTGTTGAATTTCGCCCATGATGGAGTGATCTCTTCTCCAGTTCAGAAACCACTGGACCTCAAAACGCTCAAGCAGAGAGCGGCCGCCATACCTCCCATTGTGAGTATGCCAACATTCATCTGTTTTTCATCCTGCCGTTATTCATGTTCAGTCAATTGTGGTTTGAACTTCATGAGTTTTTTGTTAACACAAGCCATATCTGGCCAGATTACACAGATTAGCATCTTCTCTCCACGTCGCCATGGTTACTAAGGCTGTTTTTAATCCCATGAGATGCTAGTTTTCCACCTCTGCTCTTAGCTATACAGACACTCATGATGAGTTTACAGAAGACTGAACGGTCTGAGCTCTGGCGAGAGGAGGGGTGTGGAAACTGATATGTGCTGTTTTAAGAGGACCTCGTATTTTCCCTCTTCTTTATTAGTCTGCATTTTTAAAGGGATGTATTTTTTCCCCCCTGACTTCTACATGGCTCAAATGGGTTTGGTTGTTGCTGTCCATTTAAAGCTGCAGTCCGTAGCTTTTTTGGGGTTAAAAATGATCAAAAATACATATTTGAGAAAATACATAACCAGCCAGTGTTCAACGCTATCTGCTTGCCTTAGCTCGATTCAAAACGGTAAGCTTGTAATAATGTTTTTAATTCCAGTGGTACTGGTGGATTTCCGCGGGAGATTCGAGCATGTCTTTGCGTCATTACGTCACATCTGTACACATAGAGAAGAGTCTCGGCTAGTCGGCTATATTGCGAGTGAGGATGTTGGAGGTGGAGATTTATAGCCTTTTCTCACAGCACTCGATATTATTCCACTTATCAATTTGATGGCGGATCCAGAAAGGTTCAAACGACAATCACCAGTGACAACTGGAGACTCACCCGTTGTAAAATGCAAAAGACTTTGTTCGTGGCTACAGAAATAAAGAGACCGCAACCGGACCCATGCGAAAACAAGGATACATATCGGAAGGACATTACATGTAGTCACGCAATGCTGACGTTGTTAACATTAACAATTTGAGATCAAAGTATAATTTGCATGGTTTTGCGTGATATGATAACTTATAAGCGATTGTTAGATTTAATCAGCGCGATTTACTGCAATGTCAGAACCAGAACAAAGGTGGATGTTTCTTACTAGCTCAGATGACATTTTCCGGAGAAAATTCTTATGTTGGTCATACTTCCAAAAAGAATAATCTGTGATTCTGAATGACAGTATCTACACCGGCGCGGTGACTGACAGCCTCACAGTCTCCTCAAACATTGTGTTCATCCGCGCTGTGCCGTGTCGAGGGTGTTGAAGCTGCAGCTTTAAGATTGCATGTAAATTACCTCTGTTATAATTGACTAGCAGTTTTTTGCATGTGAGCACCACCCACTCTGTTACTGAAGTCAGTGATGTGGATATGGGTAGTTATTAGGGGTATGCAATATGTATTGTTTACAATAATATAATAATTGCTGTTTTAACAATGTGCAAGCTGACCTTATCGAGTCAAAAGCAGCACTTTGAAAAAACAAAATCATACCTTGATACTGAACACTTTTCCTGTGTGATGTAGCCTATTATATTTCACTTAGAATGCCCCAAAATGCCCCTGTATGATCAAAAGTTTGCTAACCCTAACCCACGATTGCAAATGCGATATTGGTTTTATACAACAGTTAAATAAACAAGTTAACGTGTGAGTTACATTTTAGATGCAATGTTATCCGTTTTTGCTCTATTTTGCCAACGAAAATAGTTCCAAACAAAGCCACTGCAGAATCATAACGCGTCCCTGAGCATTTTTTTTTTTATCGGGTGAGTTAATGATTTAATCACCCATTCATAGAGACAATCACCTGCTCCGTTCCTGAATTAATCAGCCATTTGAATTTTTGTATCATCATCAATTTGGTAAAACTTTATTTTTAGGTGATGTAGTTGCATTGTACTTAATTAAATAAGTACTGAGTAATATTAATTAACTATATGTACTTACTATAGAGTTATGGTTGGGTTTTGGTTTTGGGTTAGTTGCTTGTAATTATGCATAATTTACTGTGTACTTACTATAGTAAGTACGTGTTGTAACGTGTTACTACGTCTCCTTAAAATAAAGTGTTACCTTCAATTTAAAGGGGGAAATATTGTCCGTTTTCCCCCCACCTCGTCAATATTGCACACCCTTTGTGGTCATGTTTATGTACTTATAGTTGTGATATTGTAAACATTGTGTTTTTCTTAATGGCATGGTGTTTTTCTTAAAGGGGTCATATAATGCCATTTTTGTACAAGCTAATATGATTCTTTAGGGTCTAACTTAAAAGTTTGTAATATACTTTAATTAAAAATTCTCATTAGTATTGTAAGAAAACAGTTATTTTACCTGGTCAAAAACAGCTCTGTTTTCAGCACGCCGTTTCAGTGCATATGACTTTAAATGATCATGAGCTTTGCTCACTCCGCCTCTCTGTTCTGTGCGTACACAATGACCATAACGCGTTGTTCATTATAAACGTGGGATTATGAATTATATTGAGAACGTCGTACATAGAAAACATGCCGTAATGTACCCTGAGTGTAAACCTTAGACTCATTCATCGTGAAGCGTGCAAGCGATTTGCAAAGTTATAAATATTAATATAAAGGTTAACCCTCTGGGGTCTGAGGTGTTTTCGGGGTCCTTGAGATGTTTTGGCATGCTCTGACATTTGTGCTTTTTTCAGTTGCTTATAAACATATTAATGGCACAGGTGAAATTACACTCTATATAGCACACACAGGGCTACCATAATGTGTGAGCAACATGTATGTACATGTTTGTATTTTTGAGAGAATATTGTTTATGCGTGGTTATTGAAAAAACTAAAAAATAAAGTTTCTAATATAAGGCCACAAATAACATGCTAAATATCTGTCCACAAGACTTTTGACTAGTGGATGTTGTCGCCTAGAGTTTTTCCTTCAAATTGATCTGAAAATCATTCTGCCTAATCATTCTCATAAAACAATAGATTGTTTTAAATTGTGAAAAACATTTTTTTGTTTGCAAAGGCAATATGCGGATGGGCGGAACGGCCCAACCCCCTCATGAATAATTAGGCAGTTCTCACCTGAGCAGACTGCATACTAATGAGCCTTTCATTCAGGGGTGTCACACAAGAAAGAATGCAAGGACAATATATATATATAAATAAATAAATATTTATATACACGCACACACACACACACACACACACACATATATATATATATATATATATATGTATATATATACAAACAATCAAAATATAAATGAAAGCCAAAAGCACATTTTTAGTCACACCTTTTAGCCATCCACACATAAAAATAAACCAGTCGCATTTCAAAGTCGTACGCGAAATGACCGCCAGGTGGCGCAAAGGGACATTTAGCAAAACGTAAGTGGGGCTAATGTCTATTAACAGTAGCCTAAGGATGAAATACTACAAGTTAGGGTAATTTCCAAATAAGCCTACAACAAATTGTTGGTCATACAGATAAGATATAATCTTTTAAAACTGTAAAAGGCTAAAGTAGGCCTACACTCACAGGCTAAAGACAAAACATTTTCTCGCTCATGTGAGAAACAAACGTTTGGGCATTTTTCAGTGAGAAAATGCATAGCCGAGCGGTAGAACTTACGGTTCGATCATCAAGGTGACATGGGTTCAAATCCCGCACAAACATGGTCTGCTGTAAATTTTATATTTATTATTGCAGAGAGATTTGTCTAGCTCTAAAACTCTGTTACGACTTTGCATCTGTATAATAATAGGCTACCAATAGTAATTTCAAAAGCAGTTCTGTAAAAAAATAAATTATATGTAGCCTATATATATATATGGCTATATATATTTTTTTTTTATATATAAAAAACCCCCCGATTTCTCACGCTGAAGTGTCAACCCGGTCGGTCAAATTCCTGAAAGATATAGTTTATCTATAGATCTGTTGAGCCACTCGTGATCGACTAGTTATTATACCGCAAATTAGTTAAAATATCCCGTAATCTATCTAGAGCGAGCGTGCATGCGAGACAGATATTGTGCTCCAAACCGTGCGCGCGCATGGCAGAGAGGTCTGTTCCCTACAACCTAGAGTTTTTAAAAACATGGTTTTAAGTAAAGTGTGATTTGCCAGGGGGGACTGGGATTTCCTTCTGGTCTAAACATCCCTGCTTCTGCTGAATTATTTGAATCCCCACACCCCTCCCTCCACAGCTAATCAATGCTATAGGCTACTTCATCAATATCAAATATATAAAATAGAGATATTCAACAGGCACGTTTAAACGACAAACAATAAAATCAAAACCAGCGTTTCAGTTGTTCATTAGTTCCAGTGGCCTTAATGCATGCACGGCTTTTCAAAATTTCACAAAGCGTGTTGAGATTATTTTGAATGAAATATTGAAGTTTATTATTAAGTGTTCTGGCACACCACGTACGCCGAGTGGCCCTATGCATTTTTCTAAAGTCGGGTTTTATTCTGGCATGGTGAGTTAGTGTTCGACAAACGCGGCGGCGCGTTCATTTAGATTAATTTATTTTTCTCATTATTACAGCTAAAATAACTTAATAGGCGACTCCGTAATTTTTTGGTCATACAGATAAGAGTAGAGTAGCTTACATCGTTCAAAACTGTAAACTTGTATTCATATTAGGCTAACGACAAAAACAGTATATCTGTCCTCTCTGTCTCCGGGAACTGCGCGTCACAAAAATGAACCGAAAGCCACTTCAGCTCAGTCACGATAAGAAATCGGCTATGTCTAAAGCCTTTAAATGTCTAAATATTTAGGCTAATAAATATTATCTGATTATGTAGGCTAATCCATATGAAAACGAGAGGTACAGAGGATCTACTCAAAAGTAAGCGCTTCCCAATGAGAAAATGACAAGACAAGGGTGAAAATCTCGCTCTTATTAAATGTAGGCTAAATCGCCCTCAATTAAAATGTAAAAACAGATCAAATAATGTATGTGTCGAAATGTTGCGATATTGTTTCATTTAAGTTCATAATTATTCTATAAATGTTATTTAATTTAGCAGCATACCACGAAGCACCGTGTTTCGATATTTATTTGAATAATACAAAATAAAATTAAAACTTAATTCACAAATTGCATGCCTGGTTGTAAGGATCCAAAGATCCCTGTAGACTTTATTGAGTTGAACATTTTGTTCATGACAACAAATTAACAAGCGTTTTTTTCAGATTATATTTAGTTTTGCTTGGAAAAAGCTGCCCCAAACCAGTTTTATTTCATCAATTATTGAAATAATGAAATATTTAGTAATAAACTTTTATGACAGAAATATCACTAGGCTACATGTAACTTAAATCATTTAATTCCTTCATTATCAACACTGTCTAGAATAGCTATTTAAGTGTGAATTGCGACTTCTCTTTGTGTTAAGTCAGCCTCAGGCCCTATCCACACTACTGCGTTTTAGTTTAGAAACGGATAATTAAAACGAATACGATCTCCGTCCACACCAGCGTTTTAGCTGCGTATTAGAATTGATCTCCGTCCACATTAAAACGACTGAAAACGCGGATCACGTGACCATTCACCAACACTGGGCATGCGCGTGCCGGTGTAAACACAACTTCATTGATAAAATTATCCCACCATGCTCTGGGTTAACCCCAAACCGACGCTCCATGTACGGTCAACGCCGCCGCTGCACACGGGAATTGTCACAGATCGCTCGAATAATAGCTTGACTCCGGCGCATGTATGCAGTTATAGCGTTGTAAAATGCAGAATTTACTTGTACAACAGCTGCTAGCAAAGATATACGCCATGACTGATGACACCCAATCATAGAGCCGAGCGTGAGCCTTTACTACGTCATCGTTTCTAAAGTCCTCCGTTTTGACCCGTCTACACTAAAACGCCCTCCGGAGATTCAAAACGAAAAACGGATCGGCAGCGTTTCTAAACTTCTCTGTTTTGGGTCTCCGTTTTTGCCGTTTTAGTCTGGACGGGAGGTGCAAAGGTAGCAAAAGGTCTCCGTTTTTAAACGAAAACTCAGTAGTGTGGACGGGGCCTCAGACTCCGATAGCCTGTGGGGGGGTTGGAGGGACAGTTGCTGGACAAAGGTGTTAATGTTCCTCTTTCATATGGAGAGTGTCGGATAGCCAGCCCGATGAGCAGGCAAAATTATTGTAAGGATAAAAGAGATCCAGCGCGAGAGAGGCAAAGAAAAACGCATGTTTTTAATTTAATTATGTTTCTTTGGACAATTTTCGTTTTGTACTGTTTTAATTGTTTAATTTAGCTGTAATTTCTTTGGCAATACAAATTTAAAATGTCGCAAGAATAAGATTAGCCTAGTGTTTCTTATTTTGCATCGCAAAAGAAATGAACTCTAAACCCGATGCAACCCTGTTTTAAATTTAAAAAAAACTGTCCCGACACTTTATTTAAACCTTGAAATGTTCGAACTTGGTTTCAAACTTAAGTCATTTTAGTGTTCTTTTACATTACACAATAATTTAGCAGACTAAAGACGAGCTTCTTCATTTTCATTTTCTGATGCAATCGGCTGACAATCTTCCTTCATCAGTTTTTGTCGTTTGTGCAGCGGCTGCGGTTATACAGGAATGTAGCAAATTTATGTTGTAATGATAATTAAACAAAACTCTTGACTTTAAATAAGTAAACAGATATAAACAGTTACCTATTTAAGCATCAAGGTGGGAAAATACAAACGCTGTAGGACAACATCGGTTAACAACATGTAGGCCTATGCACATTGAGATTCGATCTCGGGTCTATTGAAGCTCCTCGAAGCTCGTGTCGTTGCGTTGATCACTGAGCTATACCGTCTGTACGCTGTTAAAGTTGTAAAGTCTCATTGATGTAGCTTAAATGTTTTTATTGCAATGTTTTATGTTGAAATGTTTTCATTATTTATTCAATTACATTTCAGTAGCCTAATTTCAGTATTGTGATTATGAATTATTTTAACTACGTTTCACTTGTTGAATACATCTGCTACCAGCCTTCAATCGCTCTGAATCAGGCGCGGTGCGGCCGCAGATTACGCATAAGAGAGAATAAACCGGAATAAACGAACACTTTTCAGAGTCTATGATTGTAGCGCCTCTTAGCGGTAAAAGGCAGCAAATACACCACACATTTTACCGCCGGGGTGGAACGGCTGATGTGGGCATTGTCATGGCTTGCCTCGACATTTGCGTTTGAATAGCGCGCGTCCTCCGTGGGCGTGTCAGATTAACGCGTAATGAAGTGTAATGAGCTGGGAAAAAAAATACTGACAGCACTCTCTTTTCATACAGATTGCATAAACTGAGAATATTTGTTTTTTATATAAATTACTTCATTTAAAAGAAGAGAATTCAAGCTTCATAAAGAAAAATCTCTCGTGCCTGTGTGACAAGTAATCGCAGAGTTACAGTTAATCTTAGGACGCGTTTCAGAATGGACTTCACTGACAGAGAGAACGCAGAACTCGCATCATGTTTGTTTTTCTTTATTTGGTGAAAAGCACAACACTTTGTTTTTATTGTGAGTATCCACAAAAAAAATAGAAACTTAACAGGATCTAATGATGTATCACACTTATATGTAAGATCAAAATCAACCGAGTATTTTGAGTCTCTTTTGCACTGATAAGAAAAAAAACGAGACAATCGCGCCGGCGCGATAGCCGACCCCAGGGGGTTAATAAAACGTTACACTCACTTCAGTTGTTCTAGAGGTTCAGCAGGAACACGAATAGCTGGTACCGATCCTTTATTCAGGAGTAGCTTCTTAGCAAAACCAGCTTTATACTGATCCTCGTTTATAAAGCAGTCTGCTGAGAAATGATTCGCGCAAACATGAGAGCATTGACGTTGCTCGTGGGGAACATTCCCTTCGAAAACAGAACTCAGCCACTGCGTCTTCGGCGGTTCGGATTTAGGAACATTAAAATGACTGTTGTGTTCGTTATTGCACCCAAGAACAGAACACCACAATCGCTTAGACGCCATTCTGCTCATAGACACGAGCAGATAGAACGTAGAGCTCATAGAACGGCTCGATTTGAGGCAGGGGAAAACATATAAGGAGATTAAAACAAAAACACTGGATGGATTTTTATCATTATATGATGGTTGTGTACAGGCACTGCCAACACACATTTCAGTACAATCAACTTGAAAAAGTGCATGTACCATTATATGACCCCTTTAATGACTCCTCTTCCTGTTAATTTTGTTTTTCATGATATGGCACATTTAAGTAGATTAGAAACATGTACATGTCTTGTGTAATGGTTTATAGTAAGCATAAAATAAGCATTTTGTCTTTGTGTGTAGATGCCAGAGGTGTCGGTAGCAGGACGAGATAACCGCCCTGGGTTGCTAGGGAAGCAGCAGGCTATGCCCCATGCTCTTGCGTTGTACCAGCAGCAGATTACCATGGCACATGAATCCTCCCAAGAGGCCAAGCAGCAGCAGCCACAGCCAACCAAATCTCAGCATTATCCAGGGGTCGGTGACTCGAGCAGCCCACGGGTCAGGACTCGCAGCCCTGGTGTCTCTGACAGAGAGAGAGAGGGTAAGCTGCTCATATTCCTTATCCCACATTATCCTTTCATCTGTTCCTTCAGTCCGTTTCTCTCCTCAGCTTTCTCAACCACCATTGTTTTCCTCGGTTGTGTCTACCCCACCAGTTAAGCAAGTTCTGATGTGTGTGTCTGTGCACATGTGAGTGGTAGGGTTGTTGTATTTTTGAGTGCTGTGAAGAGCGTTGGTTGTAATTATAGTAAAAAAAAGATGGTGTATTCAGTCAAGACCCGACCACCTAGACAGACAGGTAGTGAACAACCACCAACAGCAGTTCACCTTGTTACCTGACACGTGCAGGTCTGAAATGAATGCTCCCTTAGTAACAGGCTGATGTGCACATTGAACATTATTTGGCAAGTTTTCACAAGCAAACAGCCGTTTCAATGGGAATCAATGCTATCTTTAATGGGTTCAAGTTAGTCACCCGGATTCGCTGCGTTAACCATAAAACCAATGCTTGGTTTAAAAGTGTGAGCTGTGCTTCATACATCGCTACACTATTGAACATAGACCATCACCTTTTTTGCCTGCAAAATTTGGCTAATGTGACCACACCTTAACAGAAATCTTCTTTAGTTTCAATAAAATCTTGCATAAAAAGTCTAATTTTATTAAGATCTAAATGAACTTGCACTGTTTATGAATCATTAAAACTAAACCATTGAAACTGAACTGAAATTTTAAAACCAAAATATTTTTGTAACGTTACTCTCCGTACACATAAAATTAGGGATGCACAATATATTTGTGACCATATTAGTATGAGCTAAGAGAAGTTATTCTTATTTTTTAGAATGTCCATCAGGAACTACTTCATATTTATTACACTGCTCTTTGGCACACTTGAGTCTAAAAAATCAGTTGCAGCATTCTGCTGTCAAATAAAGTCTGATTTCCATAGCTGTGCTAGTCTCTTGTATCGCTCTGTGGCCTCTTTCAAAGTAAAAAAAATAAAAATAAAATCCTCTTAGTTTGTATTAGAGACTGACTGGGCATTATCCTTTTTTAACTGTGGTTTTCTGTATATTCTTTATTTAAATGCATCCCTTTAAGAGTGCAGACACATTGGTGTAGATTTTTAATATCGACCGTAACATTAAAATATAATTGAAAGCCTATTTTTAGTCAATGATTAAAAGAGAAGCCCTTTAAAAAGAAGTTAAATGGATGAGGACAGAGAGAGAAAGTCCTTTTTTTCTGGAAAGGGTGGGATTATCTCATCTCAGTATCACTACACGCCATGAATAGGAGTCCTCTACAGGGAAATTTCACTTCATTAAGCAAAGATGGTTGTGGTAGTATTATATGTGGGCACTAAGTTAAGTCACAAAACTGCTCCTTTTGAGTACTTGGAGAGAAAGAGAGTCTTGGGTCATGGCCATGTGATGAGCTGCAGTGTGTCTGTCCCTGCAGAGCTGGAGTGGAACGAGAGATGGCTTCAGGCTCTGCTACATGGATTACGTAGGTTTACACACCACACGCGCATACTCACACACTGTTAGATCAGACTCTAATCAAGCGTGTTGATTTCTGGGAGTGTGAATGATTCGCAGATGTGTTTGCATGCCGCTACGCTCGCAGATTCCAGCTTACAGTGTTGATGAGCCTTATGATGAGTGGAATAACTGCTATCTGTGTGTTTTCACACTGGAGATTGCTGCTTTTGATGCAGGGGTTGTGATGATGATTTGAGCTTTGTCATTTTCACCTTCGCCAAAAAAGAGTGACATAGACTGCTATCCAGTAATCATCTGTTTGACAGTCATCTTTGTACGTTTTTGTGCATGTGTGCAGATAAATCCCGGGCGTTCTCTCCTCTTGCGGACGGTAAAAAGATTCCCGGGGCTGATGACATTCGGGCTGTTGGTCTAGGCCGGCCAGTGATGTCACCGTACCAGCTCTCGCCCAGAGACATGGCCAAATTCAGCCATGAACAGCTGCTACACTACAATCCCTGTAAGACAATATTGCCCTGTCTAAAGTCCCACAAATATTATTTATTTATTTCAGATAATATTCTATAATAAAATAAATATTTTGTCTTAATACAATTTAATAAAATAATATTAACTAAAAAATAAATTAAAAAATGTTTTAAATTTAAATGTAAAATTAGTTGTTAATATTATTAAGATGATATTTTTTACTGACACACTGCAGCAAAAGATATAAATAACTGGCTGAAAACCTTTTTTTTTTTTTTTGTGAAAATACTAACGTGCCTAAAACTTTTGCTCAGTACTGTATTTTTTTTCCTAATCACTCTCTTTCAGCATTGGCTCCCACTCTACAGCAACAGGAGAGAATGGCTGCAGTGCGGCCTCTTCATATCCCAGAACCCCCTCCTCTCATCTCCTCTGCCAAACCTGGCGGCTCTATCACGCAGGTAAGAGCAGCACTTAATCTCTCACAGTAGCAATGTTCTTTTGATGTGGTATTACTGGGACCGATCATTAATATTATGTATAGTGCATTCAAAGTGTTTTAATAGCATTTTAATATGTACATACTGGTGTTAATGTTGTTTTGTATTGCAGGGTACTCCAGTGCAATTGCACAATCCATCTCATGGCTCGGACCACGGGAAAATCCAAGCACCAGGATCCATGGCTCTCTCCTGGATGGACCAGAGGAAAATGGGTGAGTGTGAGTCGTAAGTGCGAGCAATTATAAGTCAGCAATCCGTTTTCCATATCCAACGTCTCCTGTCTCCTTAGGAGGGTTTCCAGTGGTTAAACAAGAGCAGTTGTCTCCACGTAGCTCCTCTCAGGCTGAGAATCTCTCCACACAGGACAGTGCTGCATCACGGGGTGAGTTTGGGACAAATCATCATCCCTCATCTCATTTCAGTCTTGGTTCAAAGAGATTAAAATGCAGAAATAGGGCTTATACCGCGAAAAGATTGAAAACAGTATTATCTCTCTCTCACAGGCCCCATGCCAGCTGTTCAGGGTGGCAGCATCACAAAGGGCATCCCTGGCACACGTGTGCACCAAGAACCTCCCATATCATATAGAGGAGGTTCTATCACTCAGGTAGGAAGCTTCCCTCCCTATAAAAGCCGTTTCAGTTCATTTTTTTGTCAAAGAGAGGTGGCACTGAAAGTTTTCCAAAATCTGTTTTTGCAGCTGCAACATTTCTTTGACTAATCAAAAATGTATTTACAACCAATTGAGTGAAATGTTACACACATTACAGTGAGCAGTCAGCTCAGATAAATGGCTCTTCAACAAACAAATGGAACAGGCAGTTTGCGTCACAGCCATACCACGTCATATTATGACATAACTGGTAATCAGTTGCCATAACAACAGGTACACAGCGTGCAATTCTGTTCTCTCCCTTTATTAATGTGTTTACACATCTCATTCTCATCGCAGACTGATGTTACTGATCACTCAAACACGCACTCAATGTGCCAACCGACCTACTGTGGCACATATTACATGCTCACGCAAATCAGAATGTTGTTGGGCGAGCGTTTAATCAGACCGGGGTCAAGTAAGTCTGTGTGTAGAGATGAGCTCTGTGTTTATCTCTGACATTTGCAAGAGTTATTGGCAGATTTATTAGAAGATAAGGAGCCATTGTCTACCTGATAAAGGTACAAGTCATATCCAGCTGAATGAAACATGGTATTTTTAACTAGTATGCATGAAGCTTAAACATCAATCAGACTTCCAATTAAAGGTCAAACCTTTAAACATAATTTGTCCTGCTGTGATTTCTTGAAACAAACTTGAAAAGTTTCCAGCCTATTTTTGAAGCACATTTTAGCATCCGGTTTTCAGTATTGTAACCTAAAAATACAATTGTTATGAAATACCAGAGACCAAAAGTGCTTGCTGCTTTGAATTTTCTGATCTCACAACACAAGGGTCAAACCAGGTCAGACTTGAGGAAGTCTCACCCTCCTATGTGCATTGTAGTCTTTTACTCGTTGTCTGTACAAATTATAATGAAAGTATTTAAAAGTATTTATGCTTATTACATAAGTATACATTTAAGACAACATCAAATAAATTGACCACAGTAGCTATCTTAGTAAATTTCCGTAATTTTATGGTAAACAGTTCATCATTGCATGTCAAAGTTTTCATATTTTTAATAAAGTTTTCATATTTTTTAAAAGACTTTCTGTACCTCTAAAACCTTCTGTTATTTTTTTTGCTGATTGTTGATTTCAGATGCTCTCCCCCCATGTGGGCATTAAAGTCACTGAAATATAATTGGACACTTTTTATGGAATATTGCAGAGTGTAAAATTTTTTTTAAAATAAAATGCATGTGTCCTATTGATATTTATTCGAAAAACATTAACTGCCCCTCCCCTTGCAACAACATCTCTTCTCTGGTGACGTGTGCACCGATGCAAAGACTGGGAAATAATCCCTCCCTTCCAGCAACCTGTTATAATAATAAATAATTGCAGCAATTAGCAAGCAGCAACCATCCAATCAAAATCAAGTCCCACCTTTTTCAAGAAGTTGTCTCACTTGGATATACGGTTAAAATATGCAAGAATGATCGCAACTTTCGTTTCATGGCGAATTTAAAGTCCCTGTAAAGGCAATTCTAATAAAAATAATTCTAAAAACACATTATAAATGTTATAAATGTATTGCTAAAACATATTACAAAGACACTGAACTGTGAAGTACTGAATTGTGGAGTTAGACCGTTGAACAGTTTTTCACCATTCATATTTTCCGGATTTTTTGGGCGGGGCTAAAACGGGGCTCGATGACGCACTGGAGCTCCTGAGCTTGTGGACACGCCCCTACTTGATGACGCACTGAGGCTGGCCCCTCCCCTAACAATAGATTTTGCATTAGTTTGGCGCTCAATCGCGAGTTACTGTCAGTACTATTAGTTACTACAGCCTACAGTTTGCCAGCTAGCTATGCCTTCGTCACGAAAATGCATACTACCTGGATGCGATCATGTACAAAACAGATTGGTGTCCTTTATTTAAATTTCCATTAAAACGATCACATCAAGAAGAGGTGGATTAATTTTGTGAAGAGCCACCTTGATGGAGAGCTGAGGATCACCGCCAACACCGGCCTCTGTAGTGATCATTTTACATGGGATAGTTTTATAAACTTTCGTCGGAGACAACTGAGATTCTCTGATAATCCGCTGTTACTGTGAATGGGGCCGAACCGACTATCTCCCGCCTCGGCCTTCATCCTCCCGTCCCGAAAGCAGTATCACCTAATATCACCATCGGCAGCTTTCCCGTGAGTAGGCGGGGTTTCAGCGCAGCCAGCGGACACGCCCCCAGCGTTTGAGAGCAGAGAATAATGCTCATTTTTTGAAGATTTTGATAGCTTATTTTATGTACTTGCTGGCTTTTTTTATCATTCAAATTTAGCTGGGTGGCTAATAACACATTTTTCTGTGGTGTGACAAACTCAGAACACATACTTAATTTTGACTTTACAGGGACTTTAAACAAAGCATTTTCTTTCATCTCTTTCAGGGCACTCCTGCAGATGTTTTGTATAAGGGCACAATAACCCGTCTAATCACTGAGGACAGCCCCAGCAGAGAAAGAAGCAGAGAAGACACTCCTTCTAAGGGGCACGTAGTCTACGAGGGCATCAGTGGACACATCCTTTCATTTGACCGTAAGTGTACACAAACATGTAAAAGCTCATAACTTAAGTGATAAAGGCAGAACTAGTTTCAAACTATTGTGTGTGTTTGATCACACAGGGGGTCCAAATTCTAAGGAAGAGGGTCGTGGGGACATGGGTGGGCTGAAGAGGTCCTACGAGATGATGGATGTTGGCATGTCTCGTGTGCCACCCATCAGAGACTCACTATCTGCGTCTGAAGGTAAGCATAACACGCTCTTTTTTTTTATTTTTATTTTTTATCAATCACGGACATGGAGTTTTACTGTTTCCATTTTTTCCAGTTTACTTTCCTTCACCTGCTTTTTCTCTGTGCTGCAGGTTTGATCAGTCGAGCAATGCCTCATGATCGTGATAGTCCTCATCTACACCACATCCGTGGATCCATATCCCAAGGTCAGCATGATCTCAGAAACACAGGCAACAGCCTCGACTGACCACCTTTAGCTTGAGATGGTCATTGTCTTAATTCTCTTTCTCTCTCAGGAATCCCACGGGATGACTGTCAGCGTCAAAACGTTAAACTGATGAAAAGAGAGGGCTCCCCATCACCCCGTGGCCCTGGTCATCCCACTGATTCTCTTAAATCACGCTCTCATGAGAGTATGGTGCCCACTGTTAAAGAGGGAGGACGCTCCATCCACCTGATCCCTCCTGAGGGGGTCGTGATAGGCAAGCCCAAAGAGGGCTCAATCACCCAGGTGACTTATAATTCTGACTTTGACATTTTTTACTTGTTGCGGTGGAAAATCTCACAAATTAATTTAAATACGGTAAAATCCTGAAAGTACTACACTTTTATTGCCACGTTTCCGAAAATCATATTAGGTTTGGATTGATGCGAGAAGTCTGGCTTTGATATCTTGGTATTGGTAATTGATACGTTGCCTTTGGCAGCTGATGAAATGAAGTCAAGGCTTTAAATACTGATATTTTCTCACTGAATGTGTCTTCTACAGGGCACCCCTCTGAAACAAGAGCCCGTCGGCTCATCCAAGCGGCATGACGTGCGCTCCATCATCGCCAGCTCTCCTCGTCCTTACTCCGGACTGCCCCCTCATCTAGAGCTCAGGCCTGAGCACAGAGGGTCTGACAGGGCCCGCTATGAGGAGGTGGGGAGCAAATCCCGACCCAGTGCTGTGGTCAGCACCCCCAGCTCTCTGTCCCGTGCCTCTCCACTGATGATGAGTGGAGAGCAAAGCAACAGATCCCACCACAGTCCAGTGGGCTATGAAGATCACAAAAGATCTGGCTATCCTCCACCCTCACACAGAGCCTCTCCACTGTCCGGCAGAGAAAGCTCACAGCGTGCACATGAAGGTATCATGTTCTACCAGTCAATGGTATTTAGTAGCTGGTGTGAGTTTTATGAGGTTTTAAAAATTGTTGCTCTGTGTCTTAGGCTCTAGTAAGGCCCAGCAGCAGGAGAGAAAGTCTACTCCCACCCCTCGAGATATGAGCTCCACTAAGTCTCCACTAACGGTGGGTGAGCACACTGCGTCGTTGGCCTACGAGAGGATCCTGCAGGGGCTGGGAACAGATATGTACCGTGGCCAGATACCTCTAACATTTGACCCTGCAACTCTGCCCAGGGGCATCCCGATTGACCCAGGTATTGCACGCATTTGCAATTTAGCAGTACAAATGACAGGGAATTTTAAAAGGCCTGTAAAATCTTAAAATGTAATGTGGAAAACAAAATTACAGAATTTACCTTTTATTTTATTTATTTGGAATTTCCCTATTTATTGATTTATTTTTTCAAATTAAATTTATTTTACATATACCATTCAAAAGTTTTTTTTTTAAAGAAATGAATACTTTTATTCAGCAAACATGCATTAATTTGATCAAAAGTGACCGTAAAGACAAATGCGTTTTTTTATTGTTTTTTTTTGTTACTTTTTATTAAAGGATCCTGAAAAAATTATCACACAAATATTAGGCAGCACAAATGTTTTTAACATTAATAATTTAAAAAAAATGTTTCTTGACTACCAAATTAGTATTATAATGATTTCTGAAACATCATGTGACACTAAAGTCTGGAGTAATGGCTGCTGAAAATTGATTATTCATTAATTTGAATATATCATCTATGTAGGGCTGAAGCATGTGATTCATTTTAGAATATATGATATGTTGTGTGTGCCAGCGCGATCAGTTGGATTTAATAAAGATATAAAGAAAACTACAATGCCTTGGAGTGTCACAAAAACGAGCGTAGCGTATAGCCTACTACTTGTCGCATAGTTTTATATTATATTTTGTTAATCTGTTAATTATTTAAGTGAAAAATATTTTGTGTAGTCCTATTTATTTTTATTCCTTTTACTACTTAATTGCAGTTTTTCTCGGATTACAGAAGCACTGCAGGTGCGTGATGTGTGGGAATGTTCTGTTGTTTATGCTGTTATATTTGCGCATATAAAGCTAAAGCCCTGGAAAATCTAAATGAACAAAATGCTCTCATTACAATCCTCCACCAGACTTACTATGCTGCACACAAGTTCACAATAAGTTAAAAACTTGCGTACACGAGCTGACACCTGACGTGAGACCTGATTTGGACCTTACGCCCAAATTTCCGTCGTACGTTCGTTTCATAAATGAGGCCCACTGTCTTTGTTTTTTCTACATTCATTTGGAGATAAAATGTGAAGGTATTACAACATAAAAATATATTAAAAACTTTAATGGTATGTACGACTAATCACAATTAATTGCATAAAAATGTGCGATTAATTAGTTTAAAAAAAAAAATCGATTGACAACACTAATATTATGTAATGTATTGTCTCTGTTTGACTTTCTGTTTATTGTCTCCACAGCAGCGTATTACCTGCCCCGTCACCTGGCCCCCGCTGCTGGCTACCCTCACCCCTATCCACCCTATCTGATCAGAGGTTTTCCTGAAACAGCAGCTTTGGAGAACCGACAAACGCTCTTCAATGACTACATTACCTCCCAGCAGATGCACCAGTGGCCCGCTGCTGCTGCCATGGCTGCCCAGAGACCTGACCTGCTCAGAGGCCTCACCCCTCGAGAACAGTCCCTAAACTACTCACCCACACCCAGAGGTGAGGGGTGGCCATAGCTTTTGTCTTTCACATATTCTAAGTCCTCTAAAGAAATCGAGCACAATTTAAGTAATTAATTCACTGAGAATTACATGAGAGTTAGTAAATGATGGGGAATTCAGTTTTTGGAGTAAATATTCCTATGTTAGTGACCTGGTGGAAGCTTTCGTTTAGCTGAATACAGAAATAGGCACTGATATGTACATTTGGGCAGTCATATTAAATATTGTTATATTAACAAATGATTGTCTGAGGCACGTTCATTTTGTTTACTGTGTATTTGCAGGAACATCTGCATCTCCCATGGATCGTCTCGCATACATCCCAGGAACCTCTCCAGGTTTCCCCGGCGGAGCCTACAACACCTCTCCCATCTCACCAGGTAGAGAGCGGTACACTCACTCAAACACACCTCATGGTGATTTAAAAACAAATTTTTGGGTAAAAGTGCTATTCACTTCACTTCATAATTTTATTGTCTCTTAACAGTGGGAGCCTCTCACATGAGCAAGATGCAAGGCAGTTTGACGTCTTCGGAGAGAGAACGAGAACGAGAGAGGGAGAGAGAAAGAGAGCGCGAAAGAGAGAGGGATCGCGAGAGAGAGCGAGAGAGGGACAGGGAGCGAGACCGAGAGAGAGAGCGTGAGAAAGATCGGGACAGGGACAGAGAAAGAGACAAGTCCCTCGGTCATGGTAACGTGGAGCACGCCCCTATATGGAGACCAGGTGAGCGCCCTCACCGCCTTCATTTTGAATGTGTAAAGCCACTTTCTGGAATATGTTTAATGCTTTTTTTTATGTCTTTTTATTGTATACATTTGGGGGCTTTTCTCAACAAATATTTTTTTATGGGATTAATTGTAATACATTTTTTGGAAGATTTTATAATTAATTTGATAAATTATGAATTAATTTACATACTATTATTTTATTATTATTATTTTTTATTTCAGGTTTATTTAAAGTACCTGAAAAATATTTTCAATAAGTTTTAGTTAAAAACCCAAAATGATATACAGCTGTAGTTATAATTTAATTAGTATTGAGTTGTTCAGTGTGCTAGTTAGTCTGCTTTAGTCAGTAGTCAATATGCAGACCATTATTGCTAAACGCCCAAACATTGTGTCCAAACAGGAGCACCTGAACAAATGTGCGGCAGTAGCAGCAGTTCTCGTCCCCCTTCTCATCCATTCATCGGTCACCAGTCGTCCCCGCTCTCCCCCCGTCCCCAGGACAACCTGCAGCAGAGACCCAGTGTCCTGCACAACACTAGCTCAAAGAACCTTACCAACTCTGAGCACAACAGTCCCTCTGTGCTACGGTAAGTCTCTATCCCTCATACTGCAGATGGTCAATCTAATGAGATAAACATGATGAAGCTGGCTTAAATTTGTTTATCTTTACCTTTCTTCAGGCCACCAGGTTCTGTTCGCTACCAAGGCTTTAGTGGGCACCTCCAGAGGTCTGGTTTACCCAGCGAGGGTTACCCATCTGGTACGGACCCAAACGCTAAAGACTCGAGCAGAGATGGGGGTAAAAGCCATGGGCGAGGAGGTCTGTCCAAACATCATGACCTTTCATCCAAGTCTGACCCCAAGCTGGCTAGTCCCGGTGGGGCATACTCGTACAGCCAGGCCCCTGGTTCCCACCACGGGCTGTCCACGAGTCGAGGGCACCCCTTGATGGCTCCCGAAAGCAACAGCGGCAGCAGTTCCATCCCGTCCCGCGGCGGGGACGGTCTCAGCAGCGCGTCAAGTAGGGAAAAGACTCAAAACAAAGTGATGTCCATACAGGAACACGAACTTCGAGCACTCGGTAAGACCACCATGACAGCGGCCAACTTCATAAACGCGATAATCATGCATCAAATTTCTTGTGATGCGGCGATGCCAGAGACTGGTGCGCTCGCGACCAACGGCACCTGTGATGGTAAGACGCTCTGGGACCTTTGGGCCGTTAACGCCACCTTCCCTCCCCTTCCCATCCTTCCTGTTCTCTACCAATCCACCCAAAGCCTTTCCATCCCTCTACCCTACCTCTACCCTTCCTGTGCCCCTGCCCCATCCCCGCCCCCTTACGTCTGTGGCCTAGTGCACGCTTGTGGTGGTTGGCATTGATCAGAATCAACCCAATTTACATTATTTTTTCGGTTTGGTTCATTATTGTTTACTTTGAATATGCTTCTACCCTTTGCTTTTGATCTTTTTTGGCATCTGAAGCATTGCTTAAAGACCACCAAAGGTTTTCCTCCCCGTTTTGTGTCACCTAAACTCATTGGACCTTTTGCCAAAACATCATTTTCAGGGGAGATTCTGCACGTTTCGGTCCAAACTTCCACAGTTTAAAGTATTGAAGCACATTAAACGATTAGAGCTTCTGTTCTGAAACGGCCACAGGCGTATGACTTAGTGAACTGATAATTCACTCTATGCCCTAACGGTCCAGAATGACGTGTCTGGAGATAAGCTTTTGTAGACCAGAGAGAGATCCTGAGGTGAACTTTAAGAGCTCATTCATTCAACTGTGACGTGGTTGCTCATTGTTTCATAACTTCCTTATTGGTTTGCCTCTTGTGTTCCCCCGTTCTTTTTTTCTCTTCAATTTGAGGAACATTTCATAGCTCTTCGTGTTTGCTTCCTGTTTCATTTCCTGTTTTGGAGGGAGGGCACTCTGGCACTATGACAGTTTGATAGCTGCATGAAGCAAACAATTACACAAGTTATAGTGAAAAAGGGTCAAGATGGATCTGGAGCTAAAAGAATATCAAAGTGTTTGGTTCCTAACGGTTGTTGAACTTCTGCATTCTTCTGCCATGCAGAACATGTTACTAAAATAAATTTAACTGAATCTACAGGAGAAATTTTGTTGTGAGCTTTGCAGTCTGAAATGAATGTGAAACTTCGATTCACATATAAATTACTCTTATGGTCCTTTCAGTTTAAAGCCTCAAATCTCTCACGCATTGAACACATGAGTCATGTTATTGATTTAAGTACACACTGTTCAAAATTTTGGGGTCAGTTAAGATTTTAGACTTTTTTTTTTCTGGATTTACTTTTATGCAGCAAGGATGCATTAAATTGATCAAAAGAGACTGTAAAGACATTTATAATGTTACAAGAATTATGGTTTCAACAAAAATATTAAGCAGCACAACTGTTTTCAGTAAGAGCTTTCTCTTTTGAACGGTATAGTTAGGATCATATTTATGAAAGGTGATTTCTGCAAAAATACTAAAAGAATCGGCAAGAATCTGATTCCGTGTAATAATTCCAAAATCATTAGTTTTTTGTGATTTACATCCCTGCATTTAACTGATGTTGTTCTTGGATGTGCTTAAAATCCATTAAGATTTTCTTATCCATTAGAATTAAATTCATTGTTGATTTAAATATCGATTTAATTTATTTTGTGTTAAGTATGTAGTTAGGACCCTTTATACTTGGTAGATTTTCCCAAAACTACTATAAGTATCATTAAGGGAAATCAGAACCAGAATCAGACCTCAATCAGGTGGTACAATCAGGTATTTTCAATCAAGTCTATTACTAGTAAAGTTCTATACTTTGTTCTTTTGTAAAGAAAAGTCTGCGTAGTGTGGAGACAGCTGCAGGAAAAAGGAAAATGTGTTTGACTGACTTCTGGTAATCAAGCAGATGTATTCACCTCTCCTACCTTCACAGCTCATTTTAAACACACATTTTGCTTCTGTTTTATCGTTGTGTTTTTGTTCTAAGCATTCAATCGGCACAGTGCTTCGCTACAGTCAGATGCCTCCATAATGTTGGCTTGATCTCTGAACACACATGTGAGCAAGTCATTGAGTAATCCCAGAGCCTGTATGTGACCACACCGCTTTCACACCCGTATCTGCTCTTACCCTCAGAGTGCTCCAGAGCTTCTGCCACACCATACTCAACTACACTTTCATGTCTTCTTCTCCACCTGTGTGCTTCCCTGTCCTCTCTGCAGCTCACAAAAAGGCAATGGAACAGCTGTACGGGTCTGAGGACAGACTTTCTCCAGGTCAGCAGCCATCCTCTGCCGTCAAAGGCTCTCAGAGAGTGGTCACCCTCGCCCAGCACATCAGCGTAAGTGTCTTGTCAGATTGTGACATTTCTTTGTTGAGTCAGAACCAGGTTCAGAAATTAAAAGAAGAAAGAAAAACAGGGCATAATTTGGGTACTCTGTGTATTTTATTGCTTTTCAAGTAGAATGTACATAATAAATAAAAAAATAAAAAAAACGCTCTGCATTAAAAACCCCCGCTTTCTCTCCAGAAGTCGGGTTTTACATCGCCTCTACGAATTGCATACAGAGGTGAAGGTACCTGGACGACCCCCTGTGGTTAGCGCAGTTGTCATACCTTGCAGACATTTGACAGGTTGAATTTGTTAAACACATTGAAGCAAGGGAGAGATGCCACCATCTTGCCTCTTTCAGACATATCAGCGCATTGGTTTGCAAATTGGATCTTTGACATGATCGGCTGATCAATAAAAATGTTGCATGTTTCCACACTTCGCTGTCATGTGGAAGAGACAGGGATAAATATCTCTCCTTTGATCAACACAGTCGCTTAACATGTTGAAGGACTGAATCAACAATTTGGCCGTTAGCATGGATTTCAGTTAATTTGTTTGGATCAGAGACATAGACGCCGATCCCATGTGTGCTCGGGGGCTCAAGCACCCATGGAAATGGTAGAGCACCACCAACGGAAAAACACGAGACGTTCTCCATTCATTTTAACCAATAAGAATTATAAAAAACAATTGCAGCTTTGAGGCCATTTCTGTGGGCGTTATTTTGATGACAAATGTCGAGAGTGCATCATTGTAACACGAGAGAGCATCCATGTAACGAATCTCTCCACTCGCAGGTGTATTTCTTTCACTCACACACTAAACTGGACGTGCACTCTCAAATATACAGTGGTCTCGTGGCTCTCGCTCAGATATATGTGCGTGATCAAACGTTGTCCTGTGCGCTTGTGAATCTCTACTTGTTCCTTCTCTAGAATTGTCTTCTCTCCTAGATTTAATGTTGCCCGAAGCTTTCAACCACCAGACTCTCACGATTGACAAGATTGTTTCATGAGATAGCATTTTCAAGCTGATTTGATGACTGAATATTCTCAGTTAAATTACTTCTCCCATTCACCTCAACTTAGGCCTATTTGTGCGAGGCCGGGCTTTCAAAATTGACTGCCTTGAAAACCAAGGCAGATGACAGGGGAGGCTTGGGGGGGCTTAAGTTCTAAAAAGTTGAGAACATCCGGTCTAAAGTATTAAGATTGTATTTGACATAAAAGTCAGCACAGATACAATTAATAAGGTATTTATAAAAAATGCCCTTACAAAGGTTAAAAATGCCCCTGTAAATAAATTCCAGGGGGCAAATATTAACTTTAAGTTCATTTCTGGCCGTGTTTAAAGGTTTTAAACTATCAGATGAGCAAGAGTGTTGTCCTTCTGAATAGAAATATGTGTACTTGTCCCCTGCATCATCATCACCAAATTGATGTTTTCTCTTTACAGGAGGTGATCACTAAAGACTACACACGCCAGTCGCAGCAAGGCCAGATGGGAGGTCAATCATCTTTGCAGCCTGTGTTTGGGTATCACAACTCCCCTGTGCTGGATCTCACCCGTCCACCCAGCGCCCCCCAAGCCCAGACACCCAGCGATCCCAACGCACGCTACACCCCAGAAGGCACTGCTGCGGAGAGGGAGAGAGGAAGGGACAGGTCTCCTCCTCAGAGTAAGGCATCTCCAGTGAGTCTGTCTGCTGATGGGATTGAACCGGTTTCACCACCCGGGGTTTCAGAGCCTGAGACGCCAGGAGCTGCCTACCCCAATGAACAAGCAGAGCAAGGGTATATAACATACAAATGCATTCACACAATAGCGATGGAAGTCAGAATCTGTGATTGAGACCCGAGCGGTCACAAGGAGAATCGCACCAAGATATAAACACGGGAGCGATGTTGGCATCCAAAAAGGTGTTTATTAAAAACAGTTGTGCAAATAAATATGGTTAAGATCAGAAATAAAACAGGTTATCAATAAAAACTGTTTAAAAACTAGAACTGTTAGGTACTAAAACAGTAACAACTCTCTTCTTAAACTATTGAGTCCAGAGTTTCAGTACGCTCAAGCAGCGCTACAATAAGCTTGTTCAAATTTACTCAAACCATAATCCATCATCCAATCCTCACTTCCACTAGTGACGGCACACATTTTCCCGCTTACTAATGAGCATACCATTTTTTTAACTCTTGCCTCACCATGATTAATAACTACACAAGATAATATTAAAACGTTTTATTTATATAGCGCCTTTCCAGTGCTCAAGAACACTTTACAATGTACATGCAACAAGGAAGGGGAAACACCAATAGGGTAGACAATGATGACAAACAATAGTAGTAGGTCAGAGTAACAAGAATACAGAACAGTAAAAGAGCAGATGGAGATAAGCACAACAAAATACAGATCACAACTTAAGAATGATAACATTCAGAATGATTAAAAACAAGCGTTAAAACACATCGATAAATAGAACAGATAAAACCAACACATACATTTACACAAACATTTCCATTAATAGCTATAAATGAGCGCTCCCATACAGTTTGAACTTTCTTTAAGGCCACGCGCACTCAGCTAAAACCGGAAATATAAAATAACAAATCCCACGTAAATATTATAAAATGCATAGTAACAGTAAGAACAAAGTAAAAACAGTGATGGAAGACAACGGCAAGGTCTCCATCAAAGAGTGTTCATCTGAGTGGTCCAAGACCCGAGCACTTTGTTGCACTTGAACTTGGAATACACACAAAAAAAGTGACTGGATTTGAGGAGTTTATGTGGTTGAAATTAAAAAAAGTAACAAATCCTTCCTTTGCTGGTCAATTTGACCGCCATAGGAATAAATGGAATGTGAGGATTTTTTTTTTATTTGCACGCCCCCCAAATTCCCCAGGAGGGATTTGTTACAAAGTGCGAGGGAAGGATGAGGGTTCCGATAAAACATTCATGACTTGGACATCAAATAAACAGACTCTTTTGTCCTGTGTTTTCATTAATTGTTCTCTACTTTTGTGTCTCAGTATGGGATCTCGTTCTCCTGCCAGTAGCTCTCAACCACCAGCCTTCTTCAGTAAACTGACTGAGAGCAACTCCGCCATTGTCAAGAGCAAGAAGGAAATGATTAAAAAGATGGTGGTTGGAGCAGAGGCTGAATTCAGTAAGTTTATGCGACTGTTGTTATTTTTTTACTGAAATAACTGCCATTTATGTGCATGTTTTGTTGCTGGCTAAAAGGTCTCAAACTTGTCTCTTCCTTTCTCTGTTTTAGACCAGGGCCAACCTGGGACAGAAATCTTCAACATGCCTGCCTCTACGAATGCAGGTGAGCAGCTCCGCCAGTTGTGTTTTTTTTATTTTTTATAGAATAGCAGTTCCTTTTAAACTGCTTTCCTGTGTCTCAAGAAAAGCTTGGCACTTCACACAGTCCTGTTCCTTTAACACAACCACTGTAACATCTCTTTTTAGGACCCGTGAGCGTGCGTAGTCACCCAGCACCAGAGGCCAGTGGTAATACTATAGGTCTGGAGGCCATCATCAGGAAAGCCCTCATGGGCAAATATGATGAACAGATGGACGATCGCTCGCCGTCCAACTCTGTCAACTCGATAAATGCTGGCGTACCAGCCGCTGTCGTGCCGCCAGCTTCAGCGGATGGCCGTTCTGAAGACCCCTACTCCCTGCCAGGTGCGTCAAATAAACCCTTAATAATTCACCTACCTTCATGGCAGCATGTGTCAGGTTTTGACACCTTTTTTGGACCAAATGTTTCCACAAAGAAAGATGATAAAGTATTAACAGCACATTGTTAAAGGACGAACCTGTATTTAATAGTTTTTAGTTTTGTTGTTTTTTTGGTTAAAGGTAAAGGGCGTGACCTAACCTGTCCATTTTGGCACCTGCCTAATTTGACTAGTTTTTACCAAGTGACAGGTGAATTTGCTCCAAAATATTTCCATGTCTACAACAAAAGAAGCATGGTCTCTCCTTTATAAGGTGCATTTCCATTGTCCCGCCCCCTGATGTCCCATTGAGTCACGATCCACCAGCTGAGAATTATTTTGGAAACACAATTCAGATATCTTAAATCTTTTCCCCCAAATGTATACAGCAATTTTGATAATTTTCACAAAACTTACATGTCTCGCAGAATATTTTATTGTACAACTATCTGAACATACAATATATAAAAGAAAGAACAGCCTCTTCTTTAAAAAAAAAAAAAAAATTATTCTAGCTTTATGTATTCTTTTTTATATATATTTATATATATAAATACCATGAATGTGGGTAAGTTTCATTAAACAAAAGCAACATTTTGAACAAAAAGCTAAGAAAATCACATTTTTGTCAAAGAATTCAACCGGATCAAATTCAGAATGATGATGAAAACCATCAAAACATCGCTTTTATCAACACCCCCAACGATTGAACAGTCCTATACCTCTTCTTGGGTCGACATTTCATTCAGTAACGTTTTAAGCATTTATAAGCTGTTGAATGTTTTATGATTGATCTCGTTAGGCGAGTGTAAGCAATGCTTCTATCTCTTGTTCCTGCTGCTGCTTCGCTTGTTTTTGGATCAGGAGGTGCTTTACTATTTCAGAAGATCCGTAACAGTATCCCCCTACCACATAACAATGAAAACATGGATTGCCGGAAAAACTTGTCAGTGTCGGGGAAACGTTGTCATAAATGGCAGAGAAAGGTTTAATATATGTTTGTCTGAATATGTCTGATGTGTGCCCTGTGTTTGGGTTCAGGTAAATCCAAAGGGGGGCGCTCTAACGGTCGCAAGACTAAGTCTCCTGGTCCTGGTCTGTCTGGAGGCGAGAGACCTTCATCTGTGTCCTCTGTCCACTCTGAGGGAGACTGTAACCGCCACACCCCACTCACCAACAGAGTGTGGGAGGACCGGCCCTCATCTACAGGTACAGTAATTAAATGTTAGCAACACTTGCCAACTAAATTAACTGAATGCATGTGGACTAGTATTTCTAATTATATAATATATATATATTGGTTAATTTGGTTAATGCAAAATTAGATCTACAAATCTACACTACCATTCAAAAGTTTGGGGTCAGTAAGATTTTTTTGAGAGAGAGTAATTCGTTCTTTTATTTAGCAAGGACACAATAATACTGTTTTTACTGTATTTTTGCTTAAATGCAGCCTTGGTGAGCATAAGAGAGCCAACCCCAAACTTTTCTGATGTTTTTATCTGTTTCCTCCTCTCAGGCCCCACTCCATTCCCCTGTAATCCCCTGACCATGCAGATGCGTCTCCCCAGCGGGATCATGTCGGCACCCTCGCCTTCCCCTACACATCCAGGCGCGTCGGCGCCCACACAGGGCCAGACTCAACCCCGCACCTGGGAGGAAGAACCCAAACCTCTGCTGTGCTCTCAATACGAGACCCTGTCAGACAGCGAGTGAACACACACCTCACGCCGCGTACAACAGGACTGAACGTTTGCTGCTTTATGAACAGAAACTTGTTACTGTAAACAGGGATGTTCGTGAACACACACGTACTCATGTCCATACTGACACACACTTATGGGAACATGCATCCATCTGCGCTCATGCCCTCTGATACCTACACAAACATATTCATACATGCAGAGAGACACATGCCGTAATCGACCCCTGGTGCACGCACTCAAGCCGTGTGTGTTGATGTGTCTGTGTGTTTGTGAATGCGCACACATGTGTGCCGTCACTCCAGGACTACTCGTTGGAAAAATCACTTTTTAATTTTTGTGTGTACACACAATACACACACACACACACACACACTTCTATTCGTGAAGGCTTGCTGGCCTTATCAGAGTTGACTCATGGACTCGTCTGTTTTGTTGACACATTTTGGAGCATTCATCATTAGACTGCTCAGGACACATACTCTTATACTTTAATACAACTGCAAACTGTTTGTTTTGTGTGTGTGTGTGTGTGGCATACTGCAAAGGCTGGATGAATCCTCTGCAGAAACACTCGTACGTCCTCTCAGTTCTCATGTGTCTGTAGCCCTTCATTATGGTTTCTGGGAGTGTTCATGTGTTGCAAACATGATGCTGTTGGGCCATCCGATTGTGTGTGTGTGTGTGTGATGAAACAAGACCTTCAGAGAGGCAGGTTAGCTGATCCCTGTGCTAAACCTTATCCTGTAACATTCTGTCCTTACCTTTTTATTTCAGAGAGTTTACATGGGCGACCATATCATTGGTTTACAGGGTACACATAATGTTAATTTTTTTGACATCAAACCTTCATTTTTTACTTTTAATTTTGACACTCAGAAACAACTCTAGCTGACCAATAACTTTCTTTTCTGTGATAGCTGATGGGAGACGTTTCGTTTCTAGTTTATTTTGGATTGTTGTTTTTAATGTACATGTACATCTTGATCGCATGTTTTTTGTAATGAGTTAAGCACTTAGTCAGCAAACGGTTCCTGTTGGTGTCCTTCAACAGATGCCGACCTGAATGCAACTTTTCTTCACAGCATTTAATTTAGTTCATTTCTTATACTGTGTTTTGTTGATTTGTTTCTTCACCTACCCTGTCAAGTGCTCCACTCTCTAGCGACAATCACTGGCAGAGAGTTGAGCGAGTGGACGCGTCTTTAGAGGAAGCTGCTTTATCAGGTCTGAATGTCCCAACAAACCTGATGTTTTTCACGTCACCTATTTGTTCAAGAGTTAAAGCCATGCTGTCTGGCCAGTCCTTTGACACGACACTCACCGAGAGCTGCTTTTACTTTCGCTCTTTGTGCTTGAACGAAGGGTTCGGATTGTTTGTTTTTCCCCGTGGGCTCATATGAGGCGATGATATATCCTGCGTAATAGAATAAAGAGGTGAGCAGACGCCACACCTCGTATAACCTGTAGTCCTTCACTCTGTACAGTTTTAAAGATGATTCTAGTGTTAAGTGCCATGTATTTGACATACATTTCTGAAGTTAAAAACTACCAAGTGACTACGCACCAGTTTTTTTTTTATTATGGTTTGCTCCTTGTTATGCCAGGGTTGTACAATTTGTCACACAGGCACAATTTTAAATCGTGAACGAGACATTGACTGTGTCAGTTTCTCTAAAACGCCTCTTTTTCAGACCACCTCAGTGGTGGGGTTACTAATTGTTTTGCATGCATATTAGATATAAGACATATTTTAATTCGTATTGTTTGACTTTTATTTGTCACATGGTTTTACTATGAAAGGTATCTTTAACAGTTTAAACTGTTGTAACCTCCAGACTTTGGGGATATTTTTGGAAGCTAATTAAAGTTCAGCAGTGGGTTTTATCCGGTTTGGGGCCTTTGTTGTTGCTTTGGTGGTTAAGGACAGTTTTAGTGCACTACCTAGTGTGGTTTTGTGAAATGGGGCTTTATCTTCAGTCACTTCAATCCCAAATACACTCTCATCAAGGTCCCCGAATGGGGTCTGCAAACAGTAACTATTCTCTTTTTAACCACAACATCCACACAAACATCTCAGAATGCTCTGATCTTGAGACTCATTCTCTGACATATCACTCCAGACAGTATTGTATTTAGTGGACAAGTCACTCTAAAGTTCAGTGTTTTCTTGTATAGCGAGCGAGCCCCTTTCCCCCTCTATATTGACCTTTTGTTTGACCTTTTGCTAAGGACAGTATTGCACTTTCCTTAGATGAGGCGGCGTTTTATTTGTAACCGATAAACGTAAACGAAGCCGAGAGATTAAAACAAATGAAGAGAAGAGACGGGAAAACAGCGGTAATCGCCCCTCTTAAGAATTAGAAAGGTTAAGTGGGTATTTGGGTGGCATCTGTTTTTGTACAACCATTTTGTGCATATTCCTTTTTTTTTTTTTTTTTGTATTAAGACCCACTGTATTATAGCGAGGAGTGTAAATAGACCTAAAAGGATGTACATATTTATGTGATTTGCTGCAAGATTGATATTCACACTGTTGTATTTCAACATGGCCACCAGCAAGCTTTGTGGATAGCAGTGTAAAAATTAAACCGAAAAAAAAAAAACAGACACTGCCTTAATGTTTAAATAAAAAGCTTATTGCCATTGATTTGTTTGCTGTCTTTTTTGTGGGCGGGGGGGGGGGGATTGTGCTACTGTGAATTTACATTGCGAATGTTATGTTTGTTGGTACTAGTATTTATTGATTTGTCATCTAGTGTAGCTTAGCTCTGAACATGCCAGGCACACCCAGCCTGTCTGAAATCACCCACTACAGTGTCCCTTTTATTTATCCTGCAGAGTTGAGCTCCAACCCTAATCAAACACACCTAAAGAAGATAATCGGTTTCTTCAGGATTACTAGGCTGCGTTTAACTCCACTTTTAGACATAAACTCGTGAACTTCCCTAAGCACTTCCCCTCTGGGGAATCTCCGCCGCCATTTTGAAGCGTGTTCAACATTGTCAAGAGGACAAGGGAAGTTTATTTGGACCTACCTTCGACCCCTCGATTTTGACATAGGGAGCAAGTCTACTAAATAGCTGCTGCGTCCCAATTCAATGGCTGCATCCTTCGAAGGCCTATTGCGTCTCCGAGGCGTGATAAAGGCTGTCCCAATTTGAAGGCTCCTGCTTCAAACATGGCCTCAAAATACATTCTTCGTTTCGAAGGCAATGAAAGGATGGATCCTTCGCAGTGTAGCCTATCCCAAAATTCATTGTGCGCTGGGGACAACAAAAAAACATTTTTAAAAAAAAAAGAAAAAATCGGATTGCACTTTTAAATCTAAGTATTGGGTTTCAACTCTTTTATATATTTTTTTTTAAAACTCACTTGACGTGTTCCTTTTTGACCATTCCCTCCCCTTTATTTAAATAAATAAATAAATAATGACATGCCACAGTGTGAATGTCCTTACAGATTGTTTGCAACAATCACATTATCGATCATGTTAACATTCGCTAACCTTTCACAATAATGAACAGGTTGGGATAGGTGTAATGTTTGCTCACTGGCTAAATCATATTTTACATATAATAACTGGACCAGACACGGACCACTCGAACTGTGCGCTTTTATTATTATCCCACCAACCTCGACACAGTCTCGCGAGACTTGCCCGAGGGCTCCGTTGTCCCTTTTTGGAAATACAGTCAGGATGTTACATCTCCCTTCTTAAGAAACAAATGGCATTACCTAAACACACGCAACATTAATTCCGTGAACATAACAATTGTGCTTAATGCATATATAAGCAGTCTGACAAGTACAGTCTGTGGTCATCGTTAGTGTCATTGCTGTAATGTAAACAAGTACGGGCAGCATTTAAATGACATAAGACGTGGATGTAGATAAGACATTCGTTTCCTAGTCAGAAACAATGTTTTGATTTTTGTATGATTTAAGTAACCTGAAGGTGAACTAGTTGTGAAAAGACAGAACAGTCAGTCAAACTGATTTCACAGTGATTCCGAGGTATCGGGTAAGTAACAGGTTTGTAAACACATTTTCTCTTTTTTTTTTTTTAGGGCAGCGATCCGCCTACACCCTTTACATTATAAGTCAAGGACTTGTCTTGGCCTGGAGATGCGGTCAAACCTTGTTGTGTAATTGGGCTTTTGTTGGTTGCGGGTGGCCCGCAGGTTCAGGTTTTGGTGGCTGTGTGTTATTGGTGTGTGTTTCTGCATGCTGTGTGTCTTTAGTGTCTGGAGCATCTCTGCTTTCGCGGAGGTGCCAACGGTTGCGTCGTAGAGTTTGTCCATCTTCTGTCTGGATGTGGTAGCTCCTATGTGTGTGTGCATGTTGTGTTACCATTGCAGGTCTCCAGGAACCATCCTCCTGACGGAAGCGAATAGGTGTGCCAGTAGGTAGGTGAGACAATGGCTTGGTGCCTCTGTTGAAGTATGCTTGTTGGCGGTGTTGGCACGCCTTCCGTCTGTCTTGGATAGCTTTCTGAGGTGCTACCTGTGGCTGCAGATGCCTACTGGTCCCTGGGAGTATGAAACGTAGTCGTCGGCTCATCAGATGCTGGGCCGGTGACTGGAGGTTGTCCACCGGAGTGTTCCTGTACTCCAGCAGAGCGAGGTAGGGGTCTGTGTTTCCGGCTTTTGCCTTGTCCAGGATGCGCTTTGCTGTCAGGACAGTCTTTTCAGCAAGGCCGTTGCTCTGTGGGTAGCGTGGACTTGTGGTGTGGGTGAAGTTCCACGCGTTTGCGAAGCAGTGGAACTCCTCAGAGCTGTAGCATGGTCCGTTGTCGCTGATGACTGTCTCTGCGATGCCGTGACGGGCGAACGCGGACTTGAGTTTGGTGATTACTGCAAGTGAGGTGCAGCTCGTGAGTTGCTCCATTTCAAAGAATCTACTGTAGTAGTCTACAATGACGATGAAGTTTTGAGTGTTCCATGTGAAGAGGTCTGTGCCTACCACTTGCCATGGTCTCTCGGGTATGTCATGTGACCACTGGGGTTCTTTGTGGTTAGCATCACGTCGTTCTTGGCATATACAGCACTGTTCTACTATTGCTTCTATTTGTTTTCCCATTCCGGGCCAAAACAGGAGGTCTCGTGCTCTATGCTTGCTTTTCTCCACACCCATGTGTCCTGCGTGTATGCGCTGGAGCATGTCTCTTCTGAGGCTCTGGGGAACTATGATTTTCTCACCTTTGAAAAGTATTCCTTCCATCTCAGAAATCTCATCTCGGTGGTTCCAATATTCCTGGATGCCGAGCGGGCATTTCCTCCTTTCATCAGGCCATCCGTTCTGCGCGGCTTTTCTGAGTGTAGTAAGCTGTGCATCTTGTGCTGTTGCGTCCTTGATCTCCAGTAGCTTGCTGTCACTCACTGGAACAGTACTTATTAGTGTATGTACCTGTGCTTCCATGCTTTCCATGAGGCTGCTGTCTTGGTGCTCAATGGATTTCCGGGACAGGGTGTCGGCCACTGGGATGTCCTTTCCGGGCCGGTGGATGATGTGAATGTTATATTTCTGAAGCTGTAGTATCATCCTCTGTAGCCGCGGTGGTGCTGTGGCCAGCGGTTTTCGGAGGATTGCTTCCAGAGGTTTGTGGTCAGATTCTACAATCACACTCCGGCCATACATGTATTCATGGAAACGCTTCCAGCCGAATAAAACTGCATACAGTTCCTTTTCTATTTGGGCGTAGTTCACTTCGGTGCTGTTGAGTGACTTCGAAGCATAGGCGATGGGTTTTCCGTCTTGGAGCATGACAGCGCCGAGGCTGCATTTTGAGGCATCTACTTGGAGTCTGAGTTCTTTTTGTGGGTCAAAGTACGCGAGCACAGGCTGATCTGTTATCAATTTTTTCGTCTGTGTGAATGCTTTGTCGTGGTTTTTGTCCCATAAAAATTCACTGTCCTGCTTCAGCAGTTGGCGTAGTGGTGCGTTTATCTCGGAGAGGTGTGGTGCGAATCTGGCCAAATAGTTAATCATCCCGAGGATGGTTTCCAACTCCCCTCTGCTTGTGGGTGGCTGCATTTCTCGTATCGCTTTCACCTTCGCCGGGTCTGGCTTGACGCCTTCTCGCGAGAGCGTGTGACCGAAGTAGCTGACCTCTGATACACTTATTTGGCATTTGTCGGGATTTAGCTTTACCCCTCTTTCTCTTGTGCGCTTCAGCATGGCCCTGAGGTTGTTATCGTGTTCAAGCTTTGTCTTACCGAAGACGAGTATGTCGTCGACAATGGCAGCTACACCTGTGAGGCCTTCATATGTCTCGTCGACGCGCCTTTGGAATTCGTCTTGGGCTGAGTTGATTCCAAACCTGTATCTGCCGAAGGGGGTATTAAATGTCGTTAACAGGGAAGACGTTGTACTCAGCTTTATGGCCCAATAGCCTGATCTGGCGTCGAGGACGCTGAAGTACTGCGCTCCGGCGAGCTTTGTGGTGAAATCTTCTAGAGTCGGCAAGGGGTAGTGGGGCCTTTTTATTGCCTTGTTGAGGTCTCTGGGGTCCAGGCAGACTCTCAGCTTGCCAGTCTGGGGTTTTTCGACGACTACGAGGGCGTTAACCCATTCTGTGGGCTCTGTCACTTTGCAAATTACGTTGTTCTCCTCCATCTTGTCGAGCTCTTTTTTCAGTCTGTCTCGCAGAGCGATCGGTACTCTTCGTGGTGGGTATACTACTGGTGTGGCGAGTGGGTCGACATGGAGGTTGCACTCCCCTGGAAACTCTCCTATGCCCTGGAAGACGTCTGTGTATTCTTTAAGGAGGCTGTCTGTGTCTGTACATGGTTTTGCTTCTTCCTCGGCCACAGCCAGTATCAGTTTGATTAACTTGAGGTCTAGACTAGCTCTCATCCCTAGGATGGGAGGTGCTTTGGTGTCTACTATGTAGAATTCGAGCACGATGGAGGTGTTTTATACTTGCACTTTAGACGACAGGTGCCCTTCACTTTCAGGAAATCACCACCATAGCCGGAGATCTTTTGGGTGGTTGGTTTTACGGCAGTATCTCTAAACAGTCTTTCAAATGTGTGTACGGGAATTGCATTGGTCTGTGCGCCAGTGTCAATTTTGAATTTAACTTTCTGGGTCCCAGTGGTGTAGTCTACGTGATACGCAGGTATACGCCGTATACCCACTAGAAAATGTCAAGGATTTCCATATACCCACTAGGAAAGGCCAAGGATCTCCGTATACCCACTTAAAAAAGCGCGAGTATTCGTAACAACATCGTTTTGTGACAGAACTTTCATTCATAAATTCACCCCGCCGTCTGTGTTTGCGCAGCGGATCGAATCGCGGAATCCAGTCACAAATGTAACTTAGCCTACTGTAAAGCGGAACGTCACGCAATTTGGCCATTTTTGAAAGAATAAATCAAAAGTAGGGATGTACAACGAATCAAATCTCGATATGTACTAGTGTGTAAACTAGTGTACTAGTGTGTAAAGCTCAAAAAGACTGCTATAGATCTGACTGTGTAAATCACCCCCTTCATTGTTCTTTTGAGGTCCTCCCCTCAGGTCGGAGATTTAGAGTCCCTTGTTTTAAGTCCAATAGGACAAAGAACTCCTTTATACCAAGTGCAATTAGGTTGCTAAATTTGCACAATTCTTTGACCTAGATGAGTAGTAGTGTATAAGTTTT